GTTTTGGAGCAACACATTTGTTTTTTTTTATAGATAATTTTAAAAATTTCACTTTTTTTGTGAGATTTCGTTAAAACAGACTGAAAAAGTTATTCATGTTAAGTACCTAAAATACAGTATTTTCAGAAAAATATTTTTCTTCAAGACTACTTATAAATGTAACAAAATAAAAAAACATGTTTCCTTGAATATTTAAAAAACTGTTCTTAATTTTCGATTAAGTATTTGCGTAAACTGAATGTATTTTCGTATTTTTACTTTATTTATTTTATCATTTTGTATGCCAGATGGAGTTCTACAAAGTTTCTAAATTCCATTTCCCCCGCTGATCTACCTTTCCCGGATTTACCCTATCACTTTTAGTTTTAGTAAAACAATAATTTGTATTTCTTTTAAACAGTGCTCAAAGAATGTTCTTTATTTTCTCCAAATATGTCTACTTTTTTCCTAAAAAATCTACTTTATTTGTTTCGTGAGAAATTACTGAAGAACATAAAAGCTGTTAAAAAAGCTGTCAATAAATATTTGGCTTCTAGAAATCGTTACTTTTTTTGTCATAAAAAACTGATTTAAAAACCGTACATTTCATGGTTGAGATCTAGTTTTTATAACACACGAGAACAATTGAAATGTTCTAATTAGCTGAATTTTGCAGATACGGGAGTTTCAGGCCACACATTAAATATAACAAGAGTTAACAGAGTGCATATGGGGCAATACAAATGCATTGCAGACAACGGAATCCCACCTCAAGCAACCCAAACTTTTAATTTGGAAGTCTATTGTGAGTAAAACCCGTTTACGCATTTTATTTTTCTGGATTTAGTTTGAATTTATTCCTTGACGAGTACACGAAAAAACTTTCCATTAGTGCAAAAAACTGAACAAATAGAGTTTCGTTATCAATCAATCACTGTCTTTTGTAATAGTTCCGCCTCTTATCCGGATATACAATCAGGTGGTCGAAGTGCCGACGGGATCTTCCGCCGTTCTTGAATGCGAAACCGAAGCTTTCCCGGAATCTATTAGGTATTGTTGAACACCACCTGAATAAGATTTCCTTTAATACAAAACGTGTTTATTTCAGGTATTGGGAGAGATCTGATGGACGTCTCTTAGAAAACGGAAATAAGTACCAAATTGACAACTCGCTAGACAGGGATCTTTATAAAGCGAGAATGCAGCTCAATATCACCAGAGTACATTCAAACGACATGACTTATAAATACTACTGCGTCAGTAAGAACGAACTGAAAACCATCCGGGGAGAACTCCAAATTCAAGGTAAATTTTTCATTAAAAATTAAAACTACTTTTTTCTATTTTGCGTCTGAAAGAAAGCTTGTTTCGATACCAAAACCGATGCTTTAATGAGACATTTCAAAACTAATTTGGGTGCTGAAATAGACTAGTACAATTTACTTTCTAGAGGTTGGTAATGGTGATTTTCAGCGGTATTTGGGCGATTTCTCTTATTTCAAGTGGTGTGCATGAAATATTTGCAGTAATGAAAATCGATTTTTTCAAACTTTGTGACATTTATTACCAAACACCACCTTATTAGAACAAAAATTCCTAAATTTTGAAAAATTGACTTTTATGTTAAAAAAAGTACGCAAAACGCGCAAAAAACTCGTTCTTTTTAAAACTCGCGCTTCGCTGCTCGTTTCATAAACCTGAACTCGTTCTACAAAACTTGCCTTTCGAGACGTGTTCTTTAATACCGGGTGGGACATCCGTTACGCCCAAAAAGAAAATCCCCACTTCTAATTAAATAAAATTGTTGAATTTTTTCACACTTACCTGGGCATTAGTAAGGTACATTCTCTAATTTTGTGGTAATTTTTCATTCACAAACAAAGCCAAAAAAAAATAAAAAGTAATTTTCTCCCAAAAAATTTAATTCTAATTTTTATACTGACCTACGCAGATTCACTTCCTACAATTGTTTACAAAATCAGAAAAAAAAAATACCAATTAGATTTTGAATTAAACGCAATTTTCCATCTTAACTTTGAAAATCATTTTTATTTATGACCTTCTACTTGTGCCATCGTAAATTTAGGTGACAATGGGGAACTGCAATTGGGGTAAGATTCCAAGGTTTACAATAAAAAGACCCTTTAAAGCGGTCGGCTACCAGTAAATGATTCTTTTGTTGGCAAATTATACCATTTTGTCATAAATCACGGGTCGGATTTGTGTTTAAATAAAAAAAGCGATTATTTGGCTAACCAAGTCAAAATTTGAAATTGTGATATCAAAGTTCGATGCGCTGACAAGTACAGATTTATTTAGTGTAAAAACTTTATAGGTAAATTAACAGAAAGTATTCATAAAACACACAAAACTGTTACAGACCCATTTATTATGCAAAAAAATTAGAAAAATTCTCAAATTATACCCTATCAATAATTACTTAGGTATATGAAATATCGCCAGTTTTAATTAATTTGAAGTCGCGATTTGAAGTGCACGTAACCGATGCCCCACCCGGTATACTATTATCAAATCGTCACACTATTTTGGTATTTTATTTAGTTTATAAAAATTTGAAAACGAAGGGTAAACCGCAACCCAAATTTTCTACACCAGCAGATTTTCCTTTGAGTTCACCTAATTTGCTTGATTTTTTCATAGTTTCCTCTAAAGTCTCATGATTTCCTTATGATTTTTACTAATTTTCCGTAAGAATTTCTCAAGATTTCCTTTTATATCTATTTAATGATACTGATGGTCTTAAATATGTTTTTTTTTAGTAAACGGACAAAAATTTTGCTAATACAAGCCACAAATAACATTGAGCAGAATTACAATTTAGGATACAGCTTTCTTGTTTCCTCTTTTAATAGCCTATAGCAAAAAAAACTTGGAAAATTATTGTTCCAACAGAAATAAATAGAGTCAAAGTGCAAAACTTAAACTCTCATAACTTCGAAATTTTTATACATAATTTTTTAAACATTTTTTCCATGTTCCTTGTATCTTACCTTATTTTTCTCTGGGGCGCGAGTTCTGGCGCACCCTGTATACTCTTTTCTATTTTACGTCAGAAAGAAAGCTTATTTCTATATCAAAACCCATGCTTTAATGAGCCATTTCAACACCGATTTGGGTGCTATAATAGACTAGTACAATTTACTTTCTAAAAGTTAGTAGTGGTGATTTTCGGTAGCGTTTTGAGCGATTTCACTTTTTTCTGGTGGTGTGCATGAAACATTTGCAGTATTCATTGTTAATTCAACAAAATTTTGAAAAATACTTAAAACTTGACACTTCGAAAAAATAGCAAACCTTGTTTCTTAAGTCACTTGTGGAAACTCGTTCTTTATAAAACTCGCGCTTCGCTGCTCGTTTCATAAACCTGAACTCGTTCCACAAAACTTGCCTTTCGAGACGTGTTCTTTAATATACTATTATAAAATCGTCACACAATTTTGGTGTTTCATTTAGTTCATAAAAATTCGAAAACGAGAGGTAAACCGCAACCCAGATTTTCTACACCAGCATATTTTCCTTTGAGTTCTTCTGATTTGCTTGAATTTTTCATAGTTTTTTCTGAAGTCCCATGATTTCCTCAATTCCTTTTTACTAACTTTCCGTAAGATTTTCTCAAGATTTCCCCTAATTTGAGAACAAACTAACAAAAATAGTAAAAAAAACGGGGAGATCTGAGTAGAGTCCCGTTTACCTAAGTTAATAAGGGTCACAAAAATTGAGATGTCCGAGAAGAGTCCCGGGTCAGCTTAAGTCTTAAAGATTGTCATTAAGGAATTAACTACTCTCATTTTACCATTCAAACCCCAATATTTTTCAATTCATCAAAGTTTTAACAGATTTTCAAAGTGATACCTACATTAGGTATCATTAGAACTGCACAGCAAAATGAAAAAAAATTACTCTTCAAAAACTTTGCAGAATAAAAAATTTTTGAATGAGAAGTTAGACCAATTAAAAAATGGCGAGATAAATAACTTAGGATTTATTAAGATAGTTGGAAATCATTTTAAAATATAGACCATAAATTTACACCTGTATGTTAATCAATAAATATTCAGGGTGAATATAAAGTATGGAACCAAGCGGTTTTATTTTGAATAATTTGCCTTCAGAAAATAATAATTAATATAAATTAAATTAATATAAAAAATGTGATCGTATTTTCAGAACGAAATTTTGTTTTGTTTTTGAGTTATGCGATTTTTTTTTGTCAAAATTGCAATTTATGTGAAAAATTTTTTTTGAAAAAATTAAATATAAAGCAGATAGTTGTAATCCTTAGAGTATAGCTTTTATGAGAAAAATGATTTTATAGTGGGTTGCCATTTAAAAAAATATTTTTTTTTGTAGAACTCAAAAACAAAAGGAAATTTCGAAAAATTTTATTTTTATTAAATCATCACATTTTTATAGTACTTTATCACTCATTAATTAGTTTTTTCAAAAAATAAATAGTTTAAGCACAAAACGTTTGGTTCCATACTTTTTATTCACCTGGTATGTATGTGTACGCATTTTTTGTCTATTTGAAGAAAACGTAAAGTAATAGGAGTAGTAAAATATCAGTTTGATATTTTTCCTCTCTTGAAACAAATATGGGGGAGTTTCCAATTTCAAAGTATACAGGTAGTTTTATTATTTTCATTCTTGATGTGGCTACCTGAGTTGATAAGCTTCGGCTACCTGTGCTAATCCTCTTCGGACTCTATTCGACCATCTCTGGAACTCTACTCGGACATCATTATGATGGATTACAAATTTTGGGACTCTACTCGGACTCTCCGAAAAAAACATCTACTTGTGCATGTGCATTTTTTGATTTTATCTAATTTCCTGTGATTTTCTTTGATTTTTCCCTAATTTCTTCATGATGTCTTCTGATTTTCCGAATTTTGAATACCGATTTCCTCTGCGGTTTACCCTTAGACCAATATTCATTGTTAATTCAACAAAATTTTAAAAAAATTTCGAAACTTGACACTTTTGAAAATCGAATTTTTCACTCGTTTCATAAACCTGAGCTCGTTCCACAAGACTTGCCTTACGAAACGCGTTCTTTAATATACTATTAAAATTTCAGAACAACAGGCAGGCAGGCCGCGTCAGCAACTTAACGACAAAAAGACAAGCATTTTCGGGAACCTCCCCCCCATCCAAGTCTCCGAGGAGGACCTCTGCGGCCCCCCGGTGCAGTGCCCCGAGTGCGAGGCTTGCAGCGCTAGCGGCGTCTCCCTCATCGACCTCATAAGTCGCTGGAATATTCGAAAATTCGGCAACATAATGTACGACAAGGATTACTCAAACAGGACCACCAGTAAGTGGACGTTTACCAGGACATTTATCACCCGGCTCGTTTATTATCTTGGGTTAACGCGTCAACAAAAACTTTATTTGAATTTTCTAGATTGCGTTTTGTACGCGGTGGGTAAACCGGTGTACCATCGCTATTCCGACCACAACAATGGGTGCTGGATGCGCGACTCCAGTCCATTGGTTGAAAAAGACGCTGAAAAATTCTGGGTGACTCAGGAGGACGACCCCAAGCACCTGTTCCAGTTCGATAACAAAACCATGTTTAGGAGAAACGCTCCGTCGAGGTTTTGATGCAGTTTCAAATAAAGAATTGATTTGAGTGTTTTTTTCAGGACTTACTCGTTGAGTTACCCGTTTCAGGGGAACGCACACGTCGTTTATAACGGATCGTTCTATTACAACGCTAAATCGTCCAACAAAATAATCAAATTTAATCTGCAGACGAGTCATTCGTATAATTTGAGTTTGCCCTTTCCGTACCCGACTAATTCGACGAATCTCTATACGGCACAGTACAACTACATGGATTTCAGTGTTGACGACAACGGATTGTGGGTGATATTCCCCGTTCCAGATTCAAACAACACGGCTGTTATGAAGGTAAGTTTTGTCAATATGCGGCTGCAAATTACAGGTATTTACATGTTTATTCGTTTATCTCGCGTACGACGGGAAGATTTGTTTTCAATGTTGAGGATTTAGCAAGGATGTGGCGAAAATTACTGTTAATAACCACAATAGTACCTACTTGAGGACTCTAACGTCTTATTCAGCTAGCAGACAATTTATTGTCTTTGAACTGAAATCTACTGTTCTCTTACACGTTTTTGTTGTATCGTGTGTTTTTATTCCTGTAATGGCCCTTTTTTGCTTCACTCTTTCAGCTTTCGTCACTATTTCTGAAACTCCTTGACAACTAAACTCTTGAATTGATTGGAGTTTACTGCAATAACAGTAGAGAAACTGAAAATGCACATCTGGGAAAATTGTTAAAAATAAAATACATGCAAGTTTGTAAATTAAATTCTCTTTTTAGAAAAAAAAACATGTTCAAAAAAGAGTTATTGTAATGATTTTTGTAAGGTTTACGGTCCAAGAGCAAACCGCAGAGGATATCGGTGAACAAAATTAGGAAAATCAGTGGAAGTTATGAAGAAATTAGGGCAAAATCAAAGGAAATCATAGGAAATTAAATGAAATCAAAGAAAATCATTAAAAAATGGTCATATTTAAATTGAACTATTGAGATGTTCGCAACCAAAATATTGCAATCGCAAAACAATTGTAACAAATTTACAAATTTGTTTTTGCTAATAATTGTTATTTAAGTAAGTTATTTTATTAAAACTAAATTAATCAATTTTAATTTTTGTGTATTAAAAAAAAATCCTAGCCATTGGAGAACTGTCTACCCTATTAATAAACAAATTGTTACCAAAAGATTACTTCTAACTTTAAAACAATAATATTTGCAAATTAATTTTGAATACGAATAAAACAAATACTGTTGTAGTAAGAAAAAAATACCTACTACATAATAAATATTCTATAATTTTTTTAAAATATTTTATTTTCTGTTTATTATAGCAAAATTAAATTGTAAAATATTTAGAAAATCGATGTGTTTGTTGTCAAAGTTTGTTTGGATTGAATAAAAATGATATGAAATTATTTAATTTGTCAAATGCAACTTTATTAAAAAGATTAAGCTGTCACTATGTTAAATTGCCTCTGGTTAGATTTGGTCATTTTAATATCTAACAATAAATGGTTTTTATTAGATATTACTAATAATAATATTGTTTATTTTATTATACCATTTAAAACGGCATTTACTTGTTATCTTAGTAAATAAATAACATCAAACATTCATTAAAATATTTTTTTAACTTAACTTTTAATTGCGGTATAAAGTTGTGAATTTTTCAAAATATTTTTTATTTATCTATTCAATTGAAAGTAAAATCGGTAACTAAGCTTCACTTCAAACTGAATATACTGTTAAATATGAACGACGTTTACAGTGGAATAGATTTATTGTTGTGGTTTATGGGTTCAGCCTCTAAGGGTACGCGCGGTTTATTGGGAGGACAATCTTTTCTACGCTGATTGTACATACATATAGTTATTTTTTTACTTTTTTGTTAATATCATATTTGGATTCATGATGAGATAATTACGTAATGGGTAAAAATGGTAAATAATATATGGTCTTTCTTTCTCAAAATTTATAAAACGATGCTACATAATTCGACCATTTTTAAATGGCCATCCTTAGGCCTACAAGAACATATTTATTTTGTGTAAAATAAAATATTTTTAACTTACGTTACACAAAACAAGTATGTTCTTGTAGACCTGAAGACGGCCATTTAAAAATAGCCAAAACATGTAGCATCGTTTAATACATTTTGAAAGAGAAGAACCAAAAATTATTTACCATCAACCCTTTACTTTTTTTGTTAATTTGTTGCGAATTTAGGGAAATCTTCAGGAAATCGTAAAGAAATCAAAGAAAATTGTGGGAAAAATCAGTAAAAATCATGAGGAAATCATGGTACATCAGAGAAAAACTATGAAAAAATTAAGCAAATCAGGGGAACTCAAAGAAAAATATGTTGGTGTAGAAAATTTGGGTTGCGTTTTACCAAAATTGAGTGACGATTACATAATAGTATATTAAAGAACACGTTACGTAAGGCAAGTTTTGTGGAACGAGTGCAGGTTTATGAAACGAGCAGCGAAGAGCGAGTTTTATAAAGAACGAGTTCCACAAGCGACTTATGAAACAAGTTTTTTATGCTATTTTTTTTATTTTGTGCGTTTTAAATACTTTAAATGTCAATTTTTCAAAATTTAGGAACTTTTGCCCTAATAAGGTGGTGGTTGGTAATAAAATAATTTCACAAAGTTTGATTTTCAAAGAATCAAGTTTCAAAAATTTTGTTAAATTAACAATGAATACTGCAAATATTTCATACATAGGTACCACCTGAAATAAGAGAAATCGCTCAAAACGCCGCTGAAAATCACCATCACCAACCTCTAGTAAAAGTAAATTGCACTATTTTATTTCAGCACCCGATTGGTATTTCAAATGCAAAAGAAAAAAAAATACTTTTTGGGTTATTTGAATGAAATATTTGTGAATCATAATTTCATTGATTTTTAATAAACATAATTTGTGTTAAGTTTGAATTTGGGTTTTATCTTTACTTTATAATTAGCTTATTAGTAACATCCCATTACTTCGTGTTTTTATATAGCAATTTATTAAATTAAATTTATTCTGTTGAATTTCAGGGAGATATTTCATTAGATACATTGCCCCAGATAAGGATATACTATATCGAATATCGCACTGGGTGATACGCTTTACGTTGAAACATTTGGAATTTCAATTTGTGCAATAAAATAGGCTATGATTTATTTCAATTTAAAATTTCTCGCGCTGGTTATGAAAGATATTGCTACAATAAATTGTTACAAAGTAGAACGGGAAATTTCTACACAATTCACCCTTGAACACTAACTTAAATTTTAGTTAAAATTTGGTACAAAGCAGTATATTTTTATTATTGTGTAATTTTTCACAACCTGCAAAAGCTTGAGATAACTTAATTATGGAATGTTTTTTTAGATGGATGTAAATTTGATGAAAATTAACTACATCTGGAACGTAAGCATTAACCACAATAAAGTAGGGGAAATGTTTATTGTTTGTGGAGTGTTATACGCAGTGGACAGCGTAACTGACAGAAACACGAAAATTCGATTCGCTCTCGATCTCTACAACGAGAAGCTTCTCGATGTTAATCTTGCATTTTCGAACCCTTTTAGGAAAACAACAATGATAGGATACAACCACAGGAATAAGGTGTGTTAATTTTAGAGGTGTAATCAATTTTTTTCTTAATTTTTTCAGGAGTTGTATACGTGGGATAAGGGCAATCAATTAACTTATCCCGTGCGGTATCACGAATCGGGGTATAACATGACGGACAGGGACGATAAAATTTTCGCAAGTGAATTTGCGCAAAGAGATATGCCTACAGGGTACAACGTTTTTCATTGAGGGATGCCACAGGAAATATAAATTGGTGGCTCCTTACAGCAAAGTAGTTAATCTCCATTTCGTACCAATGTTTAGATGAGTTTAATCAATTGTGAAATTTGTACTAACAATTGCGACTTTAGTATTTGTGACACTTGTAAATAAAAACTGTTTTTTTTTCCTCGTTGTGTTTTTATTAAAATTTCTTTGGAACGTAATACAGAATGTTCCACAAAAGTCGGACCAACATAGATAATTGTGATTAGATAATTAGTGAAAATTAAGGTTTTAAAAATCTCAATCAATATTAAAATTGTAAAGTTGAAAAACTGCTAGAGGACAAAAAAAATTGAGTTTGAACGATTATTTGACACGTTTGAAAGATATTTAACCTAAAAACAGCAATACGTCAAATTCAAATTTTCGACGAGAAAGCGGCAAAACATTTACAAGATTTTGTTTGAAATAAATAATATCTTCTAATTTCTGGTGTTTCTCCTTATTCAGAGGAGTGAAAAAGTTAAGAAAATAAATTTTTGGGAATGAAATAATTTATAAAAAGCTAAAAGTGCAGCTTAATTCGAGCCAAAGAACACTTCAACGCGTTTTTTTCGGTCACAAACACACTTTTCTGTTTTGCTTATTTTGCTTGCGCTTTGGCGGGTTTTGAATCAACAGAGCAGGGAGGGGTTGTCGCGTCTGGGCGGGGGTGAAAATCGAATTAGAGTTGAAAATTAACCGTTTTTGTTTACAAAATGCAAGGAAACAGTGTGATTTGTGGTTATTTGGACGTGAAAATATCGGCGAAAAGCAGAAGAGGACTCACTCCGTGGAAGGTAAACAAAGGGCATTTCTCACTTCAAGTGTCTCACAGTCGTTTACAGGCATGGCAAAAACAATGGTGTGAGTTAAAACGTTTGGACAGTATTGAAAATGGGGTGGAATTGAAGCTGAAATCGTCGATGGAAGGGTCAGTTCTCAACTGTCTCCTCTTGCCCAGGTCTTCAACAATTTGCAGAACCGAGTCTCGCACCAAACAGTATGCTTTTGGTGTGTTTGCCATGGGGCGAACGCAAAAGCCTCTGTTGTTTCTGTCAGGGGCCACAGAAAGTGATGCACAAGACTGGATAGCGTCAATTAGAAAAATGCTATGTGTGGCTTCGTACTTGCCAGGTTATTTATTATTAACAGTTTTTGGGTTTTTGCTTATTTGGTTTGTAGTGGGCGAATCGAATTTTCACATTTCGGTTGTTGACAACGATCATTCAAGAGCTGCCGGTTTGGTTGGTCTACATGGTGTGCTTGGAACCAATTCGCAGGAAATTGTCATCTCTGACCCATGCACTGGTGACCCTAAGTTGTGTTGGTACTGGTACCAGTTTCATCAGTTCCATTTTCAAGCTCCTGCACATCCAGTCGATGATAAGCGCATTATTGTGATGCACACCAGTGGGTGAGTTAATCATTTTTTATTCAAAAACTTTCCTGTTATTTTGGCAGCACAGTTTTTACCGTGTGTAAAAAGGAGTGTCTAATTACACACATAGCTTACACATATTGAGTGGTGACACCCAGCGTGATTACGAAAACATAAATTGAGTAATTTTTTTCAATAATATCAAAGCTTAGTTGATAGAGTTTATTTTTGTACATTGAACTGTCCAATATTTAATTAAAAAATAAATTATGGCATAAAGTCAAAATAATGTTAACGCATAAGAGGATCACATTTTGATTTTGCAGCTTTTTCGAGTTTGTCTACTTTGTCTTCGTTTCCAAGTTCTAATGATTTTAATTTTTCTTGTGTGGCCTTACAGAAGTTATAAATTTCTATGTACGGCGAGCCTAAGTGCTTTTTGTCTAAATTATACTTTACACTTTCGCAGTAATTGAAGAGAGTTTGTTTCATTATCGCAAATTTTTCAAATCGTTTGTCTTCTTCGGCTTGGTCTTCAACTTCTTTTAAAATGCTTTTTACTTCACTGCCACTTCTGCCACCTCTTGTGTATAATAATTTTAAATCCTTTTCATTATTGCGTAATGTTTCTTTTGCTTTTAATGAAAGTATGCCATTTTGATCAACGCTCATTGTCAGTTGTACTTTACATTGGCCAGGTGGTGCTGGTGTTAAGTCGCTTATCGTCACAATGCCCAAATGTCGGTTTTTTCTAACATCAGTGCGTTCTCCTTCATATATTTTAAAATCCATTGCCGTTTGTTGATTGTAAACAGTGAAGTAAGCTAATGTATTTTTTACAGGAATTGATGTGTTTCGTTTTATAATGAAATTCATTAAATTGTAATTAATATCTGTGCCAAGAGACAAAGAAATAATATCTTTTATTCGAATAGTATTTATCCTTTGGTCTGAATTSTTGGACAGAATAGCTGCTTGAATCGCAGCTCCCTCAGCTACACATTCCTCAGGATGCGTAAACTTACATAATTTTTCTCCACCAAAATATGACGAAAGTAAATTTTGTATTCCTGGAATACGTGTAGAACCTCCTGTTAAGATTACTTCTTTTATATCTGTTTTTGAAATGTTGCAAGTTATCAAACATTTATCGACAATATCTATGGTTCTTTTAAACAATTCACAGGCCATTGATTCAAACTGCTTTCGTGTAATATTAATGTTGATTAAATTATATGTTTCGTTAAATCCCGGTAGTGCTATTATAGTTTCTTCCATATCTGATAACGATTGTTTTGCTTCCTCGCATTTCTTGCGTAATCTTCTCATTTTTCTTCTGTCATTTTTTGGACTGTAATTATATTCTTTCGATAAGATGCCACAAACGTAATCTATAATCAAATTGTCAAAATCGTGACCACCTAAGTGCGTATCACCATCAACTCCAATAATATCAATATTTTGAGCAAATTTCTTAAGAATGGCAACGTCAAAAGTTCCACCTCCTAAATCATAAACCAATGAATAACTTTGTTCATCCCAATTTTGGTCCAWGTAATAACACAAAGCAGCTGCTGTTGGTTCGTTCAAAAGTTTCAATATTGTAAATCCAGCTTTTTGTGCTGCCTCTAAAGTAGCCTCACGCTGATTAACGTTAAAATAAGCCGGAACAGTAATYACAGCTTTATTTATTTGTCCTCCTAATTTAGATTCAACATCTTTCTTAATTTTCTGAAGAACAACTGCACTTATTTCTTCAGGAGTTTTTTTACAAGTTCCGCTTTTATGATTAAGTGTGATAATCGGTTTGTTTTCAATTGATTCAATTGTGAATGGAAAATGTTCTAAGTCGTTTTTAAAATTGGGATCCTCAAACTGTTTTCCAATAATTCGCTTTATTCCTGAAAAAATAAAATAAATAATTTAATTTTTTTGATTTTACACAAACCAAAAACTTCATTTTCATTTGTTTGTTCAGCCATTTTTCGGGCATATTTCCCAACAATTACTGTGCTTTGGTCTTGAAAATACACAGAAGACGGTGTAATTCGATCTCCCTCTCGGTTTTCTAAAACTCTGACTTTTCCTTTAAAGTAGTAAGCGGCACAAGAATTTGTTGTTCCTAAGTCTATTCCAATAACTACATCTCCCATTGAAGGTGGTGCCTAAAAAAAATAAACATATACAAAATACATAAAAGACAAATTTATATGTACATGCATGCATTTAAATAAGCGAAAGTGCAAAAATAGTATATTAGAGAACGCCTTTTATAAGACAAATTTTGTGGAACGAGTTCAGGTTTATGAAACCAGCAGCGAAGTGCGAGTTTATAAAGAACGACTTCCCACAAATGACTTATGAAACAAGTTTTTTATGCTATTTTTTCTACTTTGCGCTTTTTACGTACACTTGAGTGCAAAAAAAAACCGCAAATTGTCAAAAAAAAATTGTCGAATTTTTCAGAGATTTATCGTGTGAAAAAGGTTGTTCCTACAAAGGTTATAAAACTATCAAAAGAAATGTATTAATGTTGTATTTGGTGATCTTGCCAGTGCAGTGTCATAGTCAGTGTTAAAAACGAAATGGAAAAACATGGAAAAACTTGATACAAGTTTGGAAGTCTGACAATTATGAAGTTGTGAATTGTAACAAAGACAACGTCAAAAAACTTACATTTATTAACAGACCAAATTACATTATAAAAAAATCAATTTGCGTTTTTTTTGCACTCAAGTGTCCTTTTTAACATAAAAAGTCATTTCAAAATTTGGAAACTTTTGCCCTTATAAGGTGGTGGTTGGTATAAATGTCACGAAGTTTGAAAAATTCGATCTTTGAAATGGATCATTAAAGTATCGGTTTTGATATCTAAATAAGCTTTCTTTCAGACGCAAAATAGAAAATTATTTTTTTTGCAATAAGGAAAATCATAAGTGATTGTTATCTACAGATAACATGATCAGAAATGGGCTTTCCTGGTAGTAGAAATTAGTCATAAGTAGATTAGGAAAGAAGATTTACATCTTGTTCACTTAATAATGAAAAGAACAACTCATCAAGTATACAAATAAATCGCATAAGACGCACTTAATAACAAGAAGAGAAAAGGGGAATAATTCCGATTCACTCAAATACTATGTACATACAGGGTGCGCCAGAACTCGCGCCCCCGAGAAAAATATATAATGTAAGATACAAGAAACATGGAAAAAATGTTAAAAAAATATCTTTAAAAATTTCGGAGTTATGAGGGTTTAAATTTTGCACTTTGACTCTATTTCTGTTGGAAAAATAATTTTCCAAGTTTTTTTGCTATAGGCTATTCAAAGAGGAAACAAGGAAGCTGTATCCTAAATTGTAACTCTGTTCAATGTTATTTGTGGCTTTTATTGGCAAAATTTTTGTACCTTTACTAAATAATTGTAAAAAAAACATATACAAGATCATCAGTATCATTAAATACACAAAAAAATGTCAAATGTCAAAAAATAAATTTCAAATTTTTTTTATAGATAGAATTTTTTAAACTTTTTTCCTTCTCTGGGGCTCGAGTTCTGGCGCAGCCTGTATATTCGAATAATAAAAAAGTAAAAATACTATAAAACATTATCTTACCTCCATATTTGTGTAAAATACCAACACTTCTACGTGTTGGTTCTACTATTAAAAATATTTTTGAAACCTTTGTTAATACAAAGGTTCGTTGACTAATGTCAACACTTAAATGATAAGATATGTGTATGATAATTGATAAGTGATTAAGTCGTATTGACTAATAATGTAATTTATGTTTTTAATATGCTCTTTACAACAAGATACATTTTGCCGCATCTCGATAACGGCAAATTATACTTACAATATGATTTTAAAATTTTCGCTGTAGTTCATTTTTTTACGAGAAAGAATTCAGGCTTACACAGCGTAAAATATTAATCGACTATAATAGCAAGATTGCAAGAAAAAATATCGCGAATATTAAATTATAACAAACTGCGAATTGAGCTGTACTTCTGTTATTTTTCATAAACTTATCGAATTTTTTTTTAAAGTTTTGGTCACTCAGTTTTTACATGTAAACTCGCCTCGCTGTTAGCCAATTTAATTTGATTTATTTCTATTTAATTTCAGTGAATTTCCTGCCGGCCCAGGACAGATTTACCTTTACTGCGAGCAAGGTTCTCGCCTTTTAAATCACTTAGTCACTCGAGGCAAAAGATCCAAAACTAGTCCCGGATTAAAATCATCAAAGCGACTTAGTCGCAGCGAAGGTGATCTTTGTAACAACACAACCACCAGCAAATGTTCTTCAGACAGTCCAGTGTGTATCCGGAGTCAAACCGGAAGCGACGATTCCGGAGTCCGAGTATCCATAGCCTCGGACGATTCAGCGTATTTACTCAAACCAAAGGTGATTTACAAGTTTTTACTTCAATTTTTCTAATACAATTTCGTTTCAGACTGCATCAAGCCTAATCAGTATTGGCATGGGTGTGCTGACAAAAACTCCCGGTGGCAGCGAAACAAATGACGACTCTTTCCAAGACTTGACAACTCTTGAAGATCAAACGTAAGAGTTTAACAATTTTGTGCGTCTAGTAATGTTAGAAATTTTCAGCAAATGCAATTTGCCGCGACGCGAATCGGGGGTTTCCCTCGCTTCGGGGATTTACGAGGAGATATCCGAAGACACCGTCAAGACGCCTATACCATTAACGAACCATATCTACGAAAACCCCATAGATTTAATTTTAGATACAAAGCTGAAGAAGCACACTAAACCACCGCCTTTACCGCCGAGGAAGTTCGATTTCCCTCTCTCAAGCCCGAAAATACTCACCGAGCAATACAAACATCGATGTAACACTCTCCCCGCCAAAGACCTGTCGAAAATATCGCAAATTTTCACAGCAGACTCCGAATACGTGGTGATGAGTCCATCGAAACTTCCCGACAAAACCAAAGAAAAATCGAAAATCAGCACGATCGCTGAAAGTCTATACATGCCGATGTCACCAGTCATAAGCTTGAAAAATAAAATCGAGAATTGCTACATGATCATGAACGGAAAAAAATAATCGATACATATCTGAGAATCAAGTACAAAAGTTGGATGAAATTACGCATTGCTCAATATTTTTGATCTGAAAAGCTTTCAAGACTGGAACAAGAACTCGAACTCCTCTCTGTTCGAGTGCTCGTATACTAAATCAATCTTTCAATGCCTTGCTTCTTGCCTTTTATTGTTGATTGTTATTGTTATCTGTACCTACGCCTTGTTTGCTACCACTAGGCCAAAAACGGTTCGATTTTGGAATATTTCGACCCAAAAGTTTGTTTTATTGTGATCTCGTGATCGGTTTTTTGTTACTTATTTGCGACAAGCATATGTATTTTTTAATCAGTATTATACTGTATACTCGTTTTGTAATAACATCATAAAAATATTTAACCAAAGCTTAATAAAGTTTTTTTTTATACAAATCGTGTCTTTCATTCTCCACCCTAATCAAGATTTGGAGGTGGTTTTTCACTCCTTTAGGTGACAAATCCTTTATTTTGTATGTTTGAGCGTTTTCAATCGAGAGGTATGTATGTAAACAACAGCACAGGCGTGCATTTTGGTGGTATTGACTTTCAGTTTTCACAAAACATCTGTATTTAGATCGTAATGGAGTTATCGAAATTAAGGCTTAATTACTCAGTTTTGGGTACTTAGAGACCGTTTTGTATAAGAAGAGTGTGCGGTTAAGGCTTTAAATGTTTTATTGTGCATATCACAATTTTTTAACTACCAATATGTGTAACTTATCTTTGAATTTTTAGAGATATGTTTGTTATCACACCAGTGTTTTAGTTGTATAAGATATCAATATTGTAAATAAGAAAGCATTAATGTAATGTGTTCGAATAATTTGTAATTTTGACTAAAAATACCACATATCAGGGAAAATAAGGTGTTAGAGGCCTAAATTTAGAATTGTTTTGTACATATTCAATTACTTATTGCATTTACAAACTCGCGTCCAAAGGTTGCTTTAGTCTAAAGTTCGTCCCCGCGATGGCAACAAAACTGTTCAAATCTGTGATTTTGGGGGCCCCTGCGTCGGGCAAAGGCACCATTTCGTCCCGCATTGTGAAAAACTTCAACCTGGAGCACATCTCAAGCGGGGACAAGTTAAGACTGAACATACAAAACCAGACTCCTGTCGGGAAAGAAGTCGCAAAGTATCTCCAATCGGGGCAACTAGTCCCCGACGATTTAATGATCAAATTTATAACAGGGGAGATCCAAGCTGTTGGGGACAAACCGTGGCTTCTGGATGGGTTCCCGAGGACCGTCACCCAAGCCAGTGCTCTGTGGTCAGTACAAACTCTGGATGTTGTACTGAATCTGGTGGTGCCCTTCGACGTGATCATTGAGAGAGTCAAGGGACGATGGGTGCACTTGCCCAGTGGGAGGGTCTACAACAGGGATTTCAACGCACCCAAGGTGCCGGGGAAAGATGACGTCACGGGAGAGGATCTGGTCCAGAGGGAAGACGATAAACCGGAAGTTGTGAGGAAGCGTCTGGAGCAATACGAGCAAATGACGAGGCCTGTGATCGATTATTATAGGAAGAAAGGAGTCCTGCAGGACTTTCAAGGGAACACGTCTGATGAAATTTGGCCAAAAGTGCTAAACTGTCTCGCCACCTACATACCTCTCAATATAACAGCACAGAAATCAAAAATTTAAGCTTTGTAATACTTTTATTTTTAATAAAAAACGAACTATACACAACAACAATACCACCCTACTGCCTCTTCTTACTTTTTTGCGACTTTTTATTCTGCTGGGCGGTGCTGGGGCCCGCTAAAAAGTTCGACAACTTATCAGTAACATCGCCCATTTCGAAATTCGTCAAACTCTGAATCTGATCGATTTCCTTCTTCGTCTCAGGGTCGTTCATCATCTTCGGTAGGAGCATCACTAGCACCAGGGGCAGGACCATCATCAAGACCATGGGATTGAAAATGAAATCAGTGATCCTCCACTGCTCTCTCATTTGGAAATACCGCGTTTTCGCCAAAGCCTTCATTTTCAGCGGGTAAGGCACTTGTATAATCTGCGTGGGCTGAATGTAGTTCACTTTCCGGGCCCGGTACTTCCCCTTGGAGTTGATCTCGACTCGCACCGGCTCAAAAGTGTACTCGGGGTTGAGCACCTCTACCACATACGAACCCGAGGGGACATTATGGACGACAAAGGAGCCGTCCTTCTTCACAAATCCGATTAATTCGCCCCCGTTCACGTGGATTCGAGTGTTGGCTTGCCAGTGTGCTTGGCTCGTCTGGTAGTCCGACAGAGGGAAAATGCGGCCTTCGATGGTGTAGCCCCCCGAGTCGGCTTCGTCCTCAAAGCTGGACTGGCAGAGGGACAAGGGGGCGCCGAAGAGGGCCAAAAGGGGCCAAAGTCGCAGCATTTCAAGTGCCTACAACTCAAAAAAATAAATATTGAACCAGTAACCAGTTGGGGAATTTGGCTGTCACCTGTCACCTGTCAGAATTTTCAAATTTTAAATAATGATTTAAATAAAAATAATTAATTCTATTATGTGGTGTTATCACTTTAATTAATTACTTATTTGTTCCCTTTATGTGTTTGTTGTTTTGGTCTGTAATATTTGTTATTTAGGATTTAATTTGTAGGTTAGAGAACGGTGTCTGCGCGTTGCGCGTGTTGTTGACCAGACAAATTCAGTTAAAATTCGCCGTTTGCTGGCGGAGGTGTGTTGTGGTTCCACCAATAATATAACCTGTTTTCACCGTGAATTCACACAAGGAAATGATAATAATGATAGTAAATGAAAGATAGTGCTTCAGCGTGGCGTCAGATTAGATAAAAGCGTGTGATGTATGTACTATCCGTGTTTACTCCAAATAAACAATATATTTTTGAATAAGGAACGCGGGAATTGGTCAACATTATTTTACATCTCAGGTAAGCATTTCATGGGCGTTAACCATTAAATTAACCTGAGTTGCCGTACCATTGGTAAACTGTGGCCATTGATTCGTAGTTGGCCTGGATTTTCCAACATTTCCTCAACATTTTACATTTTTACAGATTTATTAAAACAATTGAGTTTAATTTATTGTTCTTGGGTGTGTACCTGTGATGATTTGTCGTGACTCATTTTCAATTTAACAACTATTTACACTTGTCGCGGCTCCAAACACCAGCTTTCCCGGCTGAAAATGTCCGAAAATTACAAATTTTTCAGTTTTATAAATTGCGACCCCTGAAATCGTAGTCTACTTGATCTCTTTTGACAGGAAAAACGTCATTGTGATTATTTAAACTGTCAAATAAACAAGCAAGATTTATTTGTTTAAAAAAATCTAATTTCGGTGAAAAGTCGTAATCACATTTTAAAATTTGATTGTTGTTATCAGCCCTTTCTGTGCTAGTGGCCCCTCGAGAGGGTGGTAGCCAGTTAATGTGAGGGGTGTTGAACGCGAGGGAAAATCCGAATGCAGATTAGTCCAGAGATATCACGCCAAATGGTCAATACGAGGCGTCTGTTTTAGCCCTGGATTGATTTGGCTCATCTGGCGTTAATTGCAGAATTTTTGGGGAAGGTGTGATGCGGGAAATAGCTCTTAGAAATAAGTGATGCTTGAGGAAATGTATATAGTAGATGGGCAAATAAACTGCTCTTCACTCTCAAGAAGGATGTTCTGGTCGTATTCCAGGAACGATTATTTGGGGGCAATCAAGGGGCATCTGCGAAATTATTAATAACTTTCAATGTAAATAAATTATTAGATTAATGGTGAGGTTACAATCGTAAAAATGAATCTGAACTTTTGCCATGAGTTTCCAAATTATTACTACAAAAATACACAGTGTTTTCTTAGTGTTGCGAAAAATTGCAACCATATATCAAAATAACACTAATAAAAAAATAAAGTACTTAATTACCGGAAAATAGGGCTCATAAATCCTGGAGAACAAATGCATTTTAATTTTTTATCATAAAACTTTATCACCCTATACAGGGTGTTTCACGTAATTTTACGAGGCCTGTGCTTGTAAGATAAGATAAGTAATACATATTCCGATACGAACTAAATTACAAATTTTGAAAAATTGAATAATCTTCTCTAGTTTGTTCACCCTTTAAAAAATTACAACGTTTTTAGTTAGTTAGTGATTAAGATAGATAAACTAGAGTCATAATCATGCCGTCTCTTGATAGAACAAATGATAATTGTTTCTGAAAAACTGCAGTTTATGACTATTAATGAAACAGTGATTAGTTTGACAACTACTGTCATGGGTTTCTAAAAATTAAATAGTTAGAAGTGTTTTTTTTGTATCCAGTGTTTTGTGACTTTTGTATATTTGGGTGCATACCTCAGGCGCAAGCCTCGTAAAGTTCTGTGAAACACCCTGTATATTCTTAAGGAAGATTTATAGGACTTATAGGTTTATTTGACATATTAGTGTTATTTTTCAACGTAGAATATGTTAATGCAATTTTTCGCAATAATAAGAAAACACCCTGTACAATTTCGTAGTATTTTTATACAATGCAGAAAACTGAAAAGTTCGTTGTTATTCTCTTCCCATCAGCAATGTGTGGTATTTTTTCACACCACTTTCAGTAAATAAATAAAAAACACCCTCAAGATTTTGAAAATAGGCACATGGTGCTGACATTTTGATGGCAAAAAGTTTTTGGTGGTTTCGGGGGGCGAATTTTTAGTTGTTTTAAAAATAGAAGACATTAACGTTTACAAATAAGTTTTGGTCTTCTAACAGAGGCGCCATTTGAGGTCATGGGTTTATCAAATTTCGCACACCTCGTTTTTCTTATCATCATTTTTATTATTTTTCCACCGACGTTACCGTATCTGACAAATTTGTATCACATTTTCTCTTATTATTCAGCACGCGTTGCAGGGGTAGACATCGAAACAGCTGTACCATTGCTCAATGGCCAACGGTCCCCCAGTATTTTTGCTTTGATGCATTGCAACCCCCTCTTGAAATAGACGTTTATTAGTGCCTTACCAGACCCACTACAGCACACTCTTCCTCCTGTAAATTAATTCACTATTCTGACAATACCCCACCTAAAAAAAGTTCGAATCACTAATTTTAATTATTGTTTTTTTCGTAATTTAAGGTTCTTGAGGTGTCGCTCTTGTATGTGTTTAGTGTCATCGTTAAAATTTATATTTGCTTTTATTTGTGGTGTTTATTTAGGATTGCTACTGTAAACATACAGTTATTGGGGTATTAGCTGTTAATGCTTGTAAAATGTGACACTTGAGAATATCGGGTATCACTACATATTCGATCACTTGTGGTTTACAACTTACGGAATAATTACATAATTAAATAAGACTCGTGGTTTAAATCAAACTAATTAAGCAAAAGAGCATGAGTTTTAGTAATACTACTATAAATAAACTACCACTAATCTCGAGAAATCATAAATCTTGTTTAGGACGATTTCTGTTTATTGAAAAATATTTCACTCTTTTTAAATTTACTTTAATTTATAGTTTTTTAATATTCTCTAGTAATAAAGAAATAAAAAATTGTATATCTTTCATAAACGATGAATTCGATTTCTCTAAGGGGATTAGATGAAATTGAAAAAAAAAATAATTGTTTAATAAATTACCGTCGTGGAATTTGAATTACATTAAAATTGAAGTAAGTAATCACAAAATTATTAAAATGTAATTTGGAACTAAATTATTTAACATTTTTAACTCATTATTATCTTTTATAAGTTTTTCATCTTGTAGGTACATTTTTTAATTTAGAACTTTTGAAAAGTCTAAATCAATTTTGTTTGTAAGTCGAAAACGGTTAATTACGTGTATTGCATATTTATTTTTATAAATTGCTTTTACAAAGTGAAATAATTAATTTTTCTTGTCTGAAGCAGTTTTTGTCATAAATACATGAATGGGTATAAGTAAACGACCACAAGACATTTTGTACAGCTTCACGACTAGTTTGTGGCTTCTTCAGTGAAGTGTTTGATCATCTTTCACAAATTATGCGTCTCGGCACGATTAAAATTACCCAGTCCATAAAATAAATAAATTTATGGAAACCTTTGCAAAGTCGCATTTTCAAAGAAAATATTTTCGGTCGATGAATTACTAAAACCGTTTCAAGCTTTGCGTTTTTTCTTTTATGTGTAAATAAACCACAAAGAAACTTTATATTGTAGTATTTACTTTTCGCTAAATGCACATTTTTGTGTTTGTTTATTTAAATTAGATGTTTAAAACACTTTTCTCGGAAAGCGTGGTATTTCAGTCCAATGGACTTAATTATTGTATTGCGTATATTCAAATACATTTGTTATGCAATGACGACTTCTTGAGTTACTCATATTGATTTAGCGCTTTGATTTTTACCACTTGGTTGCCTCTTTCGACATACTAATATTGTGGGAAAAGAAGCAATTCTAAACGGAATTGTTTTCCCATTTTTATGCAACATTGTTATTTTTAACATTGAATGGTGGTTTAAAATACCGGCAATCTTTGTGTAGCTTATTTATACAGACCATTGGATAAATTTAGAAGTCTATAAAAGTACCGCAAGTCGTATTTTATTTTTTTTTACACCTATTGACTAAAAAAATGTAGGGCCCTTAATTGGTTTGTGGGTGGGTTAACATAATAAATCAGTCAGTTAAAAAATAACGATTGAATTTATTCTAAATTTTAAATTAATTAATTATTGATTTTAGGTGGGTATTCTTTATCTGTCTTTAAGTTTTATTTGTTTTTGTCAATTTAAACGTCGAAATTTTCCGGATTACTTCCTCCTGTGTACAAATTTAGCTAACACAGTGAACTAACTGGGGTGAAAAATCCACAAGCACATTCTTGACGAAAATAAATCTGCACAACGTCTCCGTCTAACGAGACCACTTCATTTACCCCTGTTTTATTTTTCTCATTGGTTCAGACATTGATTTCTGGTTCACACGCTAAAACAAATACTCTCAAGGGGTGTAGCCGTTAACTTAATCGGATAATGTAAAGCGGAAGTTTTTATTCCGAATTGATTTGAGTGAATTAACCTGGCGCCCAATTGTGGGTATTGAACCAGCTGTCGTCATAAATTTTCTATAACGAAACAATCACATTTGATTAACTCCGGTTTATTTTTAACAAACAAGTGGAAAAAATTACGTTAAATGCCTGACGATTTATTTTGAGATTTGCTGGTGTCAGTGTCCCACAGGAGTGACCTCAACATTTTAAAAACTGTAATAGATTTTTTTAAATAGTACAGGAATTGTGCGACAGCAAAGGTTAAGGTTGCTGCTTCGACTTTTGAATGAAACTTAATAAAATTAACGAAAAATTGTCGCTGAATTCAAAGTTCATGTATTATCTTTGAAAAGCAGTTATTATAATCGTAACTGTTGTAATGTTAATTACAACTATTAATTAAAACGTGTAAGAGGATGATAAAAAACAAAATTGTTGAAATAAATAATTAGAAAGTGTCTTTAGCGGCACGAAGAAGCCAATAATTAAGTAAATGGGATACAATTGTTGATACAATTGAAGAAAAAAATTATTATTGGACATGCTTTATCACTTATCAGTAGTGTTCTACTTGTGACAACATTGATAAATGGTTTTGATCAAGAAAAAATAAGTTAATCAATTTATAATGTAATAAAAAATAATTAATATTAATTGCAATTGAAACTACTAACCTATAAAATGAGAATTTTTTTTAGAGAATTTTATAACTGGATATTTTTAAATTTAAAATTTGTATAAAGTATTTGAAAAGCAGTTTTTTAAATAAATTACATTTGTCACACAATAAATTGAGTTATTCTAACTAAAATCGCTTCACTTCCTTCCAGTGTTTTTTATTTATGACTTTCATTAAGAATTCTTTAAATTCGTTATAAATCTGCCGACGCAGCCCCAGCTTCATTCACTAATAAACGAAGGGAACAAAACAACTCCCAGTCTTTTTCCGAGGGGCGTTCGAGTTTCCTTCCTGTGATTTCTGCCATTATTCAAGATTAGGGGATGCACATGCACGTGCCCAATAATGTCGGTATTTGTATATAAGCTACTAAACCGGATGCTTATTTTACCTACCACGTTTTCGGTTAGTTTCCTAAAATTTGTACGATTCGGGTTCCAGTTACAAAATTGTTTATACGACTGTCTTTTAACGAGAATACCATTCCATTTAGGTAAACTGGGGGAATATTCCCTAATGCGTCTGCTTTAATTCCCGTTAATAATAGACCTGTCGGCATTTATTTCTTGTCAGTTTAGACATTACAAGTAGATCGTTTCCATCAACATCCTTCTGAAAGTTTATTTTTCCTATGGTTCCGAATAATTGAGTTAGGTCAGATTAAAACCTTTGAACATCCAAAAATGTCGCCCCGACAAATTGAACCTGAATCAATTTCATGGTCTACAAGACAAACCATCAACCATGAATTTAATTACAAAATTTAACAAATCTTATTTGTAGGAAATCAATCTGTAATGAAGTTCAAACTAATGTCATGGAGTTGGATTTTTTTGATCGCCGCCTGTTGTGCGACAGCGCAAGATATCAACATAAATAATCCGAATCAACAGCTTGATTTAAATAACCCATACAGCACAAGCACGCCCAACTACGATTTGAATAATAATCCCTTCACTCAAGAACCGAATTACAATGGAGATCAGTTCGGAAACCGAGACCAATTCGGTCAAAATCAGCCACCGTACGATCCGAATTTTCAAAGAGGACAGTTTGATCCGAATAATCCGCAAAGAGGACAGTTCGATCCGAATAATCCGCAAGGAGGGCGATATAATCCTGATACGGGCCTGTATGAACCGCTGGGCCGAGATTCGCCGCCCTGGAGGCAGGATGGGTTCGGGTACGGCCCTGGGAGGAACGAAATTGATGCGGCGGGGTCGGCGATAAAAGAAGCGTAAGTAAAAATTATGTAAAAAATATTTACCAATGTTATTATATTAAAAAAAAAACGATTGTAATTTGGATAAATTCAATGTAACAATTCAACTGGTTTGAAATAGTTATTTGTATTACAAGGGAAGAAAGTGTGTTTTTTCTTCTATAGGTAATCAAGGGATGAAAAGACACTTTTCTCCAGTGTAGTACATATCATTTTTCCTAAGGCCCAGCAAGAAATACTTCAAAACTAACAAATTTTCTTGATTTCCCAAGATTGCCATTAAATCTAGTAGCATGTTTTACCGTTTCTATGGGCGAGATAAAATTTTTACTTCCCTGAAAGGTTATACAGGGTGAATTTTAAAATACCACAGACGCTGTAGAATTTTTATTTATGGCTCGATTTCAAAAATAAAAAAAGAATTAAATGGCTTTTAATTTAGTGTAAGCTAACGATTTCAGAATTTTTTTAAATGTCGTATATTTTGGGCTATATTCAACTTTCTTATCTTAAATTAAAACCCACATTTTTTTCACAATTTGGAAGATATTAGTTTTCTTGGTACAGACATGTGCAATATGTTTTGTTTTCACTAAAAATTATTGTTAAAAAAAATATCACAGTTGAAAAAAAATTGATAAAAATTAAAAAAATCTAGTAAAATATACTGTGACATTTATACTTATATTTATACAACTTATACTGAATTAAAAGTTATTATCTTGTTTTTTAATTTTTTAAATCGGGCTATAAATAAAAATTCTACATAGATTAATTAATTAATTGTAATTTTGACAGGTGAGGGAGATAATACCTCCTTGGGAGGCAATTTTCCATTTTTTTCTGTTAGGGTCGTAGAATTATTTGTATTACAAGGGAGAAAAATATATAACCACCCAAGGAAGAAAACACACTTTCCTCCATTATAATACATATAATTTTTCCTACGATCCAATAAGAAAACCTTCAAAAATTTGCCATTAAATCTAGCAGCATGTTTTTCCGTTTCTAGGGGGGAGGTAAAATTTTTACTTCCCAGGGAGGTAATTGACCAATTTCTTTTCTGAAATTAGGGTGGAAAAGCTTAACTTTCTGTTAAAATCGTAAGAAACATTTCTTAATCTTGAAATTATGTCAAATACATCGTGAGTTACAAGTGCTATTTTTTAAAATATTTTCTGTTGGCATGAGTTTCTATATTTTTTTTTAGTACAAAGTTTTATTATTTTTTTTTGCAATATTTCCAATATTTAAGTATTAAAACTATGAAAAATGTTCTATTGTGACTTTCCGTGCGTATATTGAACCCGTTATAATAGATATTTGTTTTGGGCAAGGTTATCATGTTTTTGAATATAAAACTGAATGAGTGTATTTATTTTAAATTTGCCTTTTCTCACTTCAATATCAGCATCTCAATAATTTTCATAAAAAACAAGATAACAGAAGCAATCGAACTAAAATAATAATTCAAGTTGAATATTTTGGAGTAAAATGTTCTTTTTACTCTAATTTCTCATAAGTATATTTTTAATTTATTCGCCAGTTTTTATTGTTTTTTTTAATAATTTAGAAAATTCAATGACGATATGTAATTATTTCAATAGAGTAGGCAAATTATATTCAGAATGTTAAAACATTATAAGTCTTTCATAGAATTGATTGATTTCATAGAATTGATAATTCACTTTTTGACTTTGCTATTAATTCAGCATTTTCAAATACATATAATTTTCTTAATAGTTTTAATGGTAGTCCTGTGGTTTAGAATTTTTCTCTCATTATAACTTTATTTTAACGAAAAGTGGTGATTTATTTTGTTTAAAGTATTTTGCAAATGATGCAGAGCAGTCTGAAATCATCTATTAACTCTTCCTACATTTTTTTAATATTATTAATAGAATTACAAGAAAAAAACAGACTGTGGTATTTTTTGCTAAGGTTAGTTTACAACAGAAATTTTTTTCGAAAAATTTGGATTTGAACGGAAATTTGGAACACATTGTAGGGCATTTTTAGCTAACGATCGTTTTAAAAGAAAAGGTTTTTGTTTTCTAGAAAGTAAAAAAACGTTTATAGAATTCTGTTTTTGGTGTTTTATACGTAATAAACGCTTCCTATTTTTTAGGACGTATTTCTTGGTGGCTTCAAAAACCGTCCGCCCTGGCCAGTTGTACCGAGTTGCGGTAACAATAATCCAAGAAGAGGAGCCCCTCACTGTTCGTGCTTCCATCACACGAAACGGCGTGGAAATGACCGAAGACCACAAACGCGTCAAAGTCGGAGTCCCGGAAACCCTCCTAATGCGAGTTCCACCAACAAGCGTCCCCGGCGAGTACAAACTGAGAGTCGAGGGTTTATACGACGACATTTTGGGCGGTATTTATTTCGCCAATGAGACAAATCTCATTTTTTCGCAAAGATCCATGACGATTTTTATCCAACTCGACAAACCTGTCTACAAACAAGGCGAAAAAGTGCGATTTCGAACAATTCCAATCAACACCGAACTGAAAGCTTTCGACCAAGCCATCGACGTCTACATGCTCGACCCGAACGGCCACATCATGAAACGCTGGCTGTCGAAACAATCAAATCTTGGAACTGTTAGTTTAGAGTACGAATTGTCCGATCAACCGGTTTTCGGAGAGTGGAAAGTTCGAGTGATTGCTCAAAATCAAATTGAAGAATCAACATTTTTAGTAGAAGAGTATTATCAAACGAGGTTTGAGGTTAATGTAACTATGCCTGCGTTTTTCCTGAACACCGATGAGTATTTACATGGGATTGTTATGGCGAACTACACTAGTGGTGCCCCCGTTCGGGGGAATCTGACACTTAAGGCCATAGTCAGGCCGATTAAACCCATCGATAGATATAGACTGCCACATAGGAATAGGAATCGAAATAGAAACCGTGATAGATTTTACGAAAATAGGGGTTATAACCGGTTTGAGGATCGGAATAGGTATGGGCCACAGAGGTACGACGAGTTTGAGTATCAATACGACGAATTTGAACAAGATAAACCGATCGTGGAGAAATATTTTAATTTTGTAAGTGTTACAATCAGTGAGTTTAAAATTACTTCGTAAAATGTAATTAATTATAATTACAATTACTTTGGCTAAATTGTAATTAATTACAATTACACGCTTTGGTGTAATTTCAAATAATCATCTCCTGTTTGGATAGGATTAGGTAAAAAGTGGGAAAAAATTTTCTAAAACAACAATATTTTATTCGTAGTTAGTCGTTTTAGCTTTTAAATGATAAAACACTGATTTTTAAGTTTATAATTTTTATTATGCAGAAAAAAAACAACTCAAAAACTTACTTCACATCAATTATCCTAAATATTTTTATGATACATACAATTATAACAACTTATCTGATACTTATATTATTTATTTACTGGTAGGCTATTATTATGTTTTAAAAAGAAAAGGTTTTCAAATTGTCAAAATTTGACCACTGGAACTAAATATTCGCTCAACAGGCGCGTTATAATTTTTTATAGAAAGGAGTTTTTTATTTGGTGAATTCAAATAAGCGAAAAATTCTATATGTGAGGCATTTTCGCTGAGATTGTTCTCAAGTTTTGACAAGGTTGGCAACTAAATATCGACAAAAATATCACGATAAATATCAACGATATTAATTCTTTGATATATTGTGATAAATATCGAAATAAAATGCACAGTTGTATAGAAAAAGCTAACCTAAAAACTGGTATTTCTGTTAAAATTTTTGAATAAGAAAATTGGACCTAAGGAAGGGAATTCGGATTAAATCGGATCTGGCAATCTATCATCTATCAACAGATTCAAAATCCGAAGACAACATTCCACCGCATATATTTGTTAAAAAATATTTTACCTATTTTTTTTATATTTATCTACGTAACTTTTGGATTTTTTGTTGATTTTATAAAATGTTTTCAACCTAAAAGATTATTTTTAATAAGTAATTTACACGAAAATCTGAGAACGATATGTAGGGTGCGCCAGAACTCGCGCCTCAGAGAAAAATGACACGTAAGATACCACAAACATGGAAAAAAATTCTATCTATAAAAATTTCGAAGTTATGGAAGTTTAAATTTTGCACTTTGACTCTATTTCTGTTGGAAAAATTATTTTTCAGGTTTTTTTGCTACAGGCTATTAAAAGAGGAAACAAGGAAGCTGTATGTATCCTAATTTGTAATTCTGTTTAATGTTATTGTGTCTTTTATTGGCAAAATTTTTGTATCTTTACTAAATAATTATAAAAAAAACATACATTATACAAGATCATCAGTGTCATTAAATTGACATAAAAAAATGTCAAATGTCAAAAAATAAATGTCATAATTTTTTGACAGAGGATTTTTTAAACATTTTTTTATCGTCCTGTTATCTTATCTTACATGATATTTTTCTCTGAGGGGCGAGTTCTGGCGCACCTGTATATCGCATAAATATCCATCAATGTCGGATATTGTAATATTTTGATATTTATATAAATATCATGATATTTGCCAACCCTGAGTTTTGGAGTATCCATGTAATCAAAAATTATACAATTATTTTCTAAAAGTGAAGGCAAAAAGTGTTTTTGAACTTCACTCATAGAGAGGTTTTTTTTTTGAATTAATCCAATTAAGTTTAAATTGCGGTAATGAACAAGTTGCTAAAATATATGGTGATTAAAGTCTAAAATATTGGAAAACTGTTGTTTAACATTAGTTATAAATTTTAAGTTTTCAATTTTTTGCTCATTATGAATTAGTTGGAAAACTGTCGGCGAAACATATTCTAGATATAACTGCTTTATTTTTTATCAATAGCCGTAGCTAATGGTTTGGTTACTACAAAATATTCTTTTAAAAAATCTAATTTATTTGATTTAAGTTTAGTGACTTTGATTGCATCACAAATGAAATCCAAGCAGGTCCCGATTAGATATGTGCAAGTATGGAATAAAATTTAAACTTTCCACAAATTTAAAATATTAAAAAATATATCTTAATTAATTACGGTTTCAATTACAATAAAAGTACTTCAATTACTTTTTAAAGTAATTATAACTAATTACTTAACAACACTGGTTACAATGTAATTAAAAAAAAATGTATATCACGTTTTTTTCAGGACGAACAATTGCCGTTTTGGTCTAAAGTGACAAACTACTACGAATCAATCCCTTCCCTCAAATACGTAAGTCTTTTGCTTCCTAAAAATTTCGAGTATTAATAGAAATGATCAGTTTTATGGTGTCTACGAGTTCAAGTATCCAATCCGAGAACTGCTGCACTACGTCACAAGTCTTGAAGGAATGGAAGTCGTGGTAGTCGCAACAGTCGGTGAGCGTTTCCTCGACGAGGTCATCGAGGGTTATTCTACAGCGCGCATCTTTAATTCTTCGATTAAATTGTCTTTTCTTGGAGGCTCGCCTCAAGTCTATAAGCCAGGAATGCCGGTTGCAGCTTACGTAAATGAAAATTTTTCAGTTGAAAGAATGTCGAATTGATTTTTGCTTGTAGATTGCTGCTTCTTTCCAAGACGGTTCTTCTTTACCGATCGAGAGACTGACGAATGGTGTGATGGAAGTGTTTACGTATGTCGAATCGGGTGCTGGACGAAGAGATCTTCCCAGTCGGCAATTGTTTATGCTTGATGGAAGTCCGGGAGTTTGGGAGTACAAGTTTGACATTAAGAGCGAGTTGGGGTTGGAAGGAACGAAAGCGTTTGAAGACCCGACCCAGAGGGGGTCTTTGAGGATACAAGCGAGGTTTCGCGATGGATTGGGGCATGTTGCAGAGGCTGAACTTTTGATGTTGGCACACCATAGTCCGAATAATCAGCATATTAAGGTGTTTACGAGTACGCTTAAACCACAGGTAAGAAAAAGTTTTTGCGATTTGTTTTATTGAAGTAAATTTGATTTTTTTTAGGTTGGTGCTAATATGATCTTCCACATCAAGAGTAACTTCTTTATTCGGAAGTTCAATTATATGATTGTTGCGAAAGGAATAGTTTTGGTCAGTAGTGATCAAGATATGTTTGATTATATTAGTACCATGGCTGTGACATTGAGTGCGGAGATGGCGCCAGTTGCTACGATTATTGTTTGGCATTTGGGGCAGTATGGGGAGGTTACTGTCGATAGTTTAACTTTCCCGGTCAATGGAATTAGCAGAAATAAGGTAAGGATTACGATCAAGTATTAAGAGAGTACCATTAAAAACCCAAAATGGTCACAAAAACATTCGAAATATGTTTTTTTTCCTCCAAAAACTGCATAAAAAGCTTAAAATAGAAAAAAAGTATGTATAAAACTTTCGTCACAGAAGGTCATTCAAGCAATTTCAAACTCTTGTTTAAATAGATGTTCTCTGTAACTCGTATTTTCATATACCTACTATGTGAGATATTTTGAGCTTTTCTGCTGGGTGCAAAATAATACATATTTAGATTTTTCGGGCGTCTCGGAATCGATACATTTTATCTAGAGCACAACTAATTTTTATTCATAATTTAATGAATATTTACTGTTGCATTCAAAAATTACAAATGCACTAACCTTTATGCCATCTTCATTTGCTACCCTTTGTAGCAATTCGCCTGTACTTATTTCACGGACCTACTGAAAATAAGGAAACACAAAATCAGTACATGTTATTAAATTAGTTGAAAATATTAAATACAATTTAATAAGTGTGATTTTTCTAAAAATTTAGAAAGTATTATTTAATCCTGATCCTTGTAGCACGATTGTCTTCTCCATTTCTTCTATTTGCACTCACTAATTACTCGAAATTTTAAAAATTGCGCACTACTAAATGTCTATAAGCACTCGAAAATACACAACACGCACTTACTGGTCATTGGAGTTTTTAAAACAAAACGAAAAATTAACCATTTTTTCTGTAAAAAAAAATAAATTCGTACCTACAATACGTAGTATGTTATTCCTGCTTATGTTTCTTGAATAGACAAAAAAAAATTTCGTTAAAATTATTATTGGAGTAAATTTAAACTCTTCTTCTACAAATTTTGAAATAGAATTTGAGTAATAATACATTTTATCTAAAACACAATTTATTTTTATTTATAATTCAATAAATACTTACTGTTGCACTCAAAAATCACAAATTCACACACTTCACTTTGCAAAAAAACAAAAAAATAAATTGCACTAACCTATATGGCATCTTCTTCTGCTACTCTTTGTAGCATTGCGCCTCTGCTTCTTACACGGACCTACTGAAAATAAAAAAAAACACAAACTCAGTTTAATGTGTTATTAAATCAGTTTAAAATATTAAATAAAATTTAAATGTGATGTTGACTTACCCTTTAATCCGGATCCTTGCAGCAGGATTACTTCTTCCATTTCCCCCATTGGCACTCACTACTACCTCGAAATTTTAAAAATCGCACACTACTAAATGTTTATTAAGCACTCGAAAATAGCCAACACACACGCACTAATAATACAGCCGCCATTTCAACACAATTTCGCACTGAACTACGAAATAAGTAATTTATTCGGACAATTATTACAATTCAAGTAACTCCTACGGGAGCTTGGCTACAACTGATTTGTTATTGTTATAATTCCCTTAAAAAAAAAAACGGCAAGATCGACAAAAACTTATTTCGTAACAGTTTTGTTGTAAAAGGTCTTCGGGACTGCGTAATCGTGCAATGGCAACCTCACAAAATAATTATATTACACGTTCACCATTTTTTGCGCTCTTCACAGTCGTACGATTAAACAACCCTCTGATTCGCCTGATATGACTTAAAGATGCTAACATCTGATTGGCTACGGGACAGCGTCTTGATGCGTCCAAACATGAACTTTTACCAAAAATTTACTTTTGTTTAAAGTGACAATGAAATTTTAATTTGCCATTAATCGATTTAGAAAAGACGAAATAAAATTTAGTTCAGGACTAAACAAATCCGAATTAAGTTGTCAGTTACTTTACTTTTTCAAATATCAAATTTAATTGCGAATTGAAATTTCATTGCAATTAAGAATGCTCTATAAATACTTTTGTCTCGTGGGTTGCGAATGTATTAAAAAATAAAAAAAACGTACGAAATATGGTTTCAAGATGTAAAATCACGCACTTAGGCAGTGTCACTGGTTAAAATGCTCTACTACGGATAGATCTATTCTTTAAATCGTTTTGTTTTATTCGCTATCAATGGAATCTACACTACTCGAAAAAAATAAAGGAACAAAAAATTTTCCTAAATTTTTTGGTGATTTTTGAACTCATCGAAAAATGGTCGTATGTAGAATTAAAAAAAACATTTTGAAGCTCTAAGTTTCTAGTTTTGGGATCTTTTGACAATTTTTTTCTGTGCTACGGTTATCACGCAATCCTAAGTAATATCGCGAGAAAAAAAATTCCAAAGTTTTTTTGATTTTGTTTTATTTGATCAATTGGTCTGAGAAAACGGTTTGATGGATCGTTTAAAAATTATCAGGGCTATAGGGGATACATTAAGCTGTAAAAACACCTAAAAACATTAGTCTCCCTATCAATATTAGTGAATACGCGGTAGATTTACTAAAACAACGGAAAAAGTTACTTTTTTGTATTTTCTTTAATGTTGACGGTGAAAAAAAAATTGTTTTGAAAAAATCATAAAAGGATCTTGCAAGACATTTATTCCAGTTTTTGACACTACCCTTATATTCTCTGTGTGGTCATTGGTTGCTGAGATATCGATGATCAAAGACAAAGGGATCTTTTTTCATTTATTGTCAGATATCTCAGCGACAAATTGACGTAAAGAAGATATGAAAAAAGCATATTAAAGGTGAACAAACATGCTATCCTGCCTATGCATTGACTTAACCAAAAACAAACAAAAAATAGATTTTTTTTTTCTCGCGCTATTACTTAGGATTGCGTGCTAACCGTAGCACAGAAAAAAATTTTGGCAAAACATCTCAAAACTAGAAACTTAAAGCTTCAAAATTTTTGTTTTTTTCAATCTAGATACAATTTTTCGATGAGATACAGCCTTTCAAAAATCACCAGGAAATTTAGGAAAAATTTGTGTTTCATTAATTTTTTAGAGTAGTGTATTTAAAATAAAAAACGTACGAAATAAGTAAAGACATTGCCACCGGTTAAAATGCTCTACGACAAGCATTTTCCGAGATTCAAAACCAGACAAAATTCACCTGAAGTTAAATCTTTTCAGTTCAAAGTGTATATCAACAACAAGAAAGCCCGCACTGGCCACAAAGTCGAAGTGGCAATCTACGGCGAGCCTGGCTCCTACGTGGGGCTTTCGGGCATCGACCGCGCCTTCTACACGATGCAAGCCGGCAACGAGCTCACCTACGCCAAGGTCCTCACGAAAATGGCCTCATTCGACGAGAACATCAACGGCACCCACGAACACATCTGGTTCTCTCACGACGGCAACCCCGACGACCTCGTCTACTTCCCCTCATCCACGTACGGAATCGACGCCAATCGCACCTTCGAATACGCCGGATTGGTCGTCTTCAGCGACTTCGAGCTCCCTCAGCGCTGGTCGCGCTGTAACGCCTCGCTCGGGTGGGCGGAGTGCCTCAACGGCGCCTGTTATCGCATGGACAAACGCTGCGACTACTTCCAGGACTGCACCGACGGCACCGACGAGGCCGGATGCAAGTACGACAACGGCACCGAATTAGCAATGTTCAGGAAGTACAGATTCAACCGGATTCAAAGACAGTACGAGAATGTTTGGGTGTGGAAAGATGTCAATATTGGCCCCCATGGCCGGTACATTTTCAACATTCCGGTGCCGGCGAGGCCGGTGCATTGGATGGTGTCGGCGTTTTCGATGAGTCCCACTCTTGGTTTCGGGATGTTGAATAAAGCGATTGAGTATATCGGCGTTTTGCCGTTCTTTATCAACGTGGAGATGCCCACGATGTGCATGCAAGGGGAGCAAGTGGGCATTAGAGTGTCTGTTTTTAATTATATGATGGATGCGATGGAAGCAACGGTTGTGCTTTTGGGGTCACCGGATTATAAGTTTGTTCATGTGGAGGAGAATGGGGTTGTAAGGGCGTACAACCCACGGACGTCGTTCGGAGAACATCAGTTCTTTATTTATATCAAGCCGCAAGATGCCGCTGTTGTTTACATACCAATTGTTCCGACGAGGTTGGGGGATATTGATGTTACGGTGTATGCCTCCACGTTGATTGGAAAGGATCAAGTGACCAGAAGACTACATGTTGAAGTGAGTTTATTTCAATTAATGTTTTCTAATTATCTCTTATCTTATTTTTTTAATAGGGGATAATAATAAATGAAAATCTTTCTCAGGCTTTTTTCTTTTATTGGGAACGACCGGTTTCGGCTTTAGACCATCTTCTGGTTCCAATACTATTAACAAGATTTGTCAGTTTAAACACTTTAAAATTAAAAATTAATAAAATGAGACAAAAAGAAAATGGTGGAAAAAAGCCTGAGAAAGATTCTCATTTAATATTATCCCCTATTATATCACAAGGCGACAAAAAAAGTCATGTCGTGACAACTTGACAAATTTTGTATCATTTTGTTCGTCTCAGTAAAACAAATCAAATGCTTTAAAAAAAATTCAAAAAGTCACACTTTGAACTAAATAATTTTTTCTAATTTAAATGAATTTAAAATTTTTTAACTTTAAAAAATCATTACTCAATAACTATTAGGCCGATTTCCTTCAAATAAAGACCATTCTAAAGGGATGGACTTGCCCTATATAATATTGGCAAACTTTTCTTCGAACAGTGTTCGAAGAAGTTCGAAGTAAATCGAAGTAATCTAAGAAAAACCCTTCATAACCATCGTGTAGAGCACCTCTTTATTAGTGAGAATCTAAATTTTTAAAATAATCTACCGAGTAGTTTTTAAGATATGATTTTTTGAAGTTAAGGTTTGCTATTCAGGTATTCTCCCATATGGGAGAAATGCATGTTAATCTTACTTAAAATTGCATTTTTATAAAAGTATTTGTTTTAAGGTCAATTGCACCTTCTTTGTTCTAATTAGAATAAACAAAAACTGTTGTTTACTTAAAACAAATAAAGAGTACCTGCGTACTAATTAAAGCAAATAAAGAGTTTTTTTGTTCTAAAAATGATCACTGATCATTGAGCAAAAAAGATCTAGAAGTTTAAAGCAGTAGCTTTAAATATAAGAACAAGTCGTTTTCAAATTAAATCACTTTCCATTCAGATTCTAAATTGTTCACTTTGTTCTAGCTTTCTGAACTTTTTTTGAAAATGTTCTCATCACTTTCGAGTGATGTTAAATGCAATAAGTCAGTTGCTTCGTGTACAACTGTTATCACAACAACTACTACCTACAAGTTGACTGAAGCTAATCGTAGAATGGACCAACAAAATAAATCAGGTGACTTATTGCATTTAACATCACTCGAAAGTGATGAGAAAGCATTTGCCCAGAACATTTTCAAAAAAAGTTTAAAAAGCTAGAACAAAGTGAACAAGTCGAAATCTGAATGGAAAGTGATTTGATTTGAAAAAGATTTTATTTAAGACTCGTGCCTTAAACTTCTAGATCCTCTTTGCTCAATGATCAGTGGTCATTTTTAAAACAAAAAAACTCTTTATTTGCTTTAATTAGTACGCAGGTATTCTTTATTTGTTTTAAGTAAACAAACAGTTTTTGTTTATTGTAATTAGAACAAAGAAGGTGCAATTGACTATTTTTAAGCAAAAGAAGAGTTTTAAAACAAATACTTTTATAAAAATGCAATTTTAAGTAAGATTAACATGCATTTCTCCTATATGCTTGATTAGCAAACCATAACTTCAAAAAATCATATCTTGAAAACTACTCGGTATATTTTTTTGAAAATTTGGATTACAAGTAAAGAGATGCTCTACACGATGGTAATGATGAAAAAAAAATTACTCGTAGGGTTTTTCTTAGATTATTTCGATTTACTTCGAACTTCATCGAACACTGTTCGAAGAAAAGTTTGCCAATATTCAATTTCAAATTTTATATCATTCTGCAAGGCCATCCCTTTAGAATGGTCTTTATTTGAAGGAAATCTGCCTAATAGTTATTGAGTAATGATTTTCTAAAGTTAAAGTATTTTAAATTCATTTAAATTAGAAAAAAATTATTTTGTTCAAAGTGTGTGGACTTTTTAAAAAAATTTTAGTGCATTTGATTTGTCTCACTGAGACAAATAAAATGGTATAAAATTTGTCAAGTTGTCACGACATGATTTTTTTTTGTCGCCTTGTGTAATAAGACTCAGGAACATGGTCATAACCAACACTTATTTTTTTAGTCTGACGGTTTGCCTCAGCACCGACATCAATCCATGCTTCTTGATTTGAGTAATCGTGCGTATGCCTTCCAATACATGCACGTTAATGTCACCGAAACGCCTATTATTCCATACGAGTATGACAGATACTACGTATATGGATCAAATAAAGCCCGAATTTCGATTGTGGGAGACGTAGTGGGTCCCATTTTCCCAACAATGCCGGTAAATGCCACGTCGATTCTTCATTTGCCTATGGATTCGGCTGAACAGAACATGTTTTCGTTTGCTGCTAACATGTATACGACTTTGTACATGAGGTATACGCAACAGAGGAATCGCACATTGGAAAAATTGGCGTTTTATTATATGAATATTGGGTATCAGAGGCAGCTTTCGTTCATGCAGCCGGATGGATCCTTCAGTCTGTTTAGGAGTGACTGGTGAGTACAAAAAATCATTGTGTATAAAAATTTAATTGTTTGAAGCTTTATTTTTTACATGTTTTAATCAGTGATATTTCAATTAAATTTCCGATCAAAGTTGCAATTAAGTTGGCAACACTGAATTATTGATATTAAATTGAGTCAGGCGACGGACGTGCTAGCGGCCGCCCCGCCGAAATGAATGACAATTGACTATAAAAAAGTGACGTTTGAATTTAATAACCAATATTGCCAAGTTTATTTTAAAGGCAGAGACTACTTTGATCGGAAATTTACTTAAAAGCATGGTATTTTACAAAATCGCTAATGTTCTTTATAGTAAAAATTCTACGTCCAGTGAGTGTAATCGATTTAGAGACGTTAGGATCAGTCAAGAAAAGGAATGAAAAGTTATGTTTTGATTAAAAATGTCTCATGAAGGCAGCGGTTAATAATTAAGCAATTAAATATTAGAATTGAAATCGACTTTTACAAAGCGTTTACTTAGTTTTATTTATTTTGATTGACATATTCTTAAGGCAACGGCCATACCACGTTGTAAAGCACCAGTTCTCGTCCGATCACTGAAGTTAAGCAACGTCGGGCGCGGTCAGTACTTGGATGGGTGACCGCTTGGGAACACCGCGTGCCGTTGCCACTTTTTTTTCGCAATTTTCATTCTAGTTTTTGCACTTATTTCTAAAAATGTTTCTGCAAAGTATAGTTATTAAATGTGCGCTTGAATACAAAAAATGCAAATTGTCAAAAACAAAACTGTCAAATTTTCACATAATGTGAAAAAGGTTAGAAAACTATCAAAAGAAATGTCTTATCTGGTGGTCTTGCCAGTGTAGTGTCATAGTCAGTGTTAAAAACGAAATGGAAAAACTTAATAGAAGTTTGGAAGATGCCTGACAATTATGAAATTGTGATTGGACAAAAACGACGTCAAAAAACTGGCATTTATTAACAGGCCAAATTACATTATAAAAAATCAATTTGCGTTTTTTTGCACTCAAGTGTACAAAGTGGTTATAAATGATTTTCATCTAGCCAGTTGTGTATTTTCCATATAAAATAAAAATGCCGCTTTACGAAAATAGGGGTATCTACTTGTTGTAACTCAAATTTAAAAAATCGCCGTTTACTAAGCGTCCACTTCGAAAATAGACTTCAATTATAAACTTGTTTTCTTCCAAAGTATACAATATTATCAATTATTATTGGAAATTAATTGAAACAATAAAAGTTTAATTAACAACTATTTATTATTAATTAGAGCTTTAAAAAAAAGCAGAGCGGCACAAATGAAGTTACACGCAAAAAAAAACCAAAGCTGGCTAGATGAAAATCATTTGTAACCACTCTGTATAACTGCTAAATTGATCCATTAGACCCCCAAGCACATAGATAAATATTAATTCGATGACACATAAAATTACCATAACTTTATTTTTTATTTATTTTTTGTAGGTACCATGCTTTCAAATAAATTTCTGATCGAAGTGTCCAATGATTTTGAAATTAATTTGGCAACATTGACTCTCAAATTCAAACGTCATACTTTTATCATTTATTTCTAAGGGACAGCCGTTGGTATAACTGTCACCTGACAGGATCTGATATCAATAATAATTCGGTGTTGCCAACTTAATGTAAGTCACAATAATAAAAGTGAAAAAATACAAATTTGTGTGTAAATAACTAATTGATTGCATGTCAGGTGAAATATGTTAAAAATAATAATTAACTAACTAATTGTACAGAGTGGTTATAAATGATTTTCATCTAGCCAGCTTTGGAATTTTTTTGCATGTAACTTTATTTGTGCCGCTCTACTTTTTTGAAAACTCTAGTTGTGTCATTAGTGTCACTTATTAATTAATAATAAATTGTTGTTGATTAAACTTTTATTGTTTCAACGAATTTCCAATAATAATTGATAATAATGTATATTTTGGAAGAACACAAGTTTATAATTGAAGTTTATTTTCGAAGTGGATGCTTAGTAAACTGCGATTTTTTAATTTTGAGTCAAAACAAGTAGATACCCCTATTTTCGTAAAACGGCATTTTTTATTTTACATGGAAAATTCACAGCTGGCTAGATGAAATTCATTTATAACCACTTTGTATATATTTTTGAAGACTTCTTTTAATGATTAATTCTTTATTTACTTTGAATACTACATTTTCCTACGGCAACAGCCATACCACGTTGTAAAGCACCAGTTCTCGTCCGATCACTGAAGTTAAGCAACGTCGGGCGCTCAGTACTTGGATGGGTGACCGCTTGGGAACACCGCGTGCCGTTGCCATTTTTTTTTTCTTTGTGAATTATTCAATCAACGTTCTGAAATAATATTTTACCATTTTATTTATTTAATTTCGTCCCCAGGAACCAATCCGATTCTTCCGTTTGGCTCACATCCTACTGCGCCCGCATTTTCCAAGAAGCAAGCTTCTACGAATGGGAAAACTACATCTACATCGACCCCACCGTCATTGCAAAATCCGTGGAATGGGTCCTTCGGCACCAAAATCAAGACGGCGCCTTCTACGAAACCACGTGGCTCCCGGACCGCAAATACAACTCCTCCCTCAACTTCAACAACGATCCAATCCGTCACCGCAACATCACGCTCACCGCTCACGTCCTCATCATGCTCGAATCCGTCAAAGACCTCACCAGCGGTCTCAGCTCCAAAGTGGCCATCGCGCAACGAAACGCCGTCCATTGGCTCGAACGCAACATGGATTTGATCAAAGAGCGCGGACGACCCTTCGACATCGCCATCGTCGCTTACGCCCTCATGAAGAGCAAAGCGGCGTTCGCCGAAGCCGCCTATCTCGAGTTATCGAGACACCGGCGCGAAGAGGGCGGTTTGTTGTACTGGGGGCGCCAATCGGTCCCGCAACCCCCCTACAAAATCGAAAACCAGAAGCCTTTCTCGCTCCCGAGACTCCCCTACGAGTACGACTCGGAGAACATTGAAGCTACGGCCTACGCACTTATGGTGTACGTAGCCCGACAAGAAATCTTCATGAACGACATAGTGCGCTGGTTGAACACTCAGAGACTCACCGACGGGGGCTGGGCCTCCACTTCGGACACCGCAAATGCCCTCAAGGCCCTCATCGAGTACACCTCAGCCCAAAGAATTCGCGATATTTCGAGTCTCTCGGTGACGGTGGAAGCGACGGCTTTGCCCGGCAAGACCGCTGTTTTGCACGTCAATGACAAAAATCGAGCGAAATTACAACACATCGATATACCCAATGCCTGGGGTACTGTTAAAGTGCAAGCAAAGGGCACCGGTTACGCCATTTTGCAAATGCATGTGCAATACAATGTCGACATTGCACGATTCCAGACGAAACCGCCAGTGCCGGCGTTCGATTTGTGGATCAGACCGTATTTCTACGGACGAAACATGTCGCATATCACGCTGTTTAGTTGTCAGAGGTGGAACCATCTGAGTGAATCCCCCAGGTCGGGACTTGCAGTGCTTGATGTCACGATACCGACGGGTTACATCGTGCAACAGCAGGATTTGGATGCATATATCCTGTCGAGGCAAGTGAGGAATTTGCAAAGGGCGAGGTTCTCGGAAAGGAAGGTTCTGTTCTACTTCAATTATGTGAGTATTATTTTTCAAGAGTAATAGTTAGTTACATTAGAGGTGCAGTAGAAATAATTTTCTATCGTGAAGTTTTAATATTGAAGCACGAAGCGAAGATGAGTGAAAACTGAACCCTGGAAAATACCTAACGCACAAAACTTATTTTGAATACAAGATGGTACTGGTCAGAATCCTGCAAAAAAATAATTATTTTTGAATACGGAATAGAGTACGATATTTTCCCTTGGTATTAATGAATTTCATTTTCCATAAAGTATCATTCTAGACAAAAGTTGACATTTTAGCGAAATCTTTAATTCACATCTTTGTTATTATATAAGACACAGATTTGAAACAAAGGCATTATATTTAAGTAGAATTTAATGTTGTTGTTAACAGTTTTTTTTCAGTTGTTTGTTTAGCAGTAATAAGATAAACTTTTTTAATTTTTCTTAAACTTATTTTTTTTTTTTAATGGGAATCATGGGTGGCTATGACATTTTTAAAAAGCTTATTTTTTTCTGATCATAAAACTATATATGAATATATGTTTTAAATGTTTTTATTTATTTTTAAATAAAAAAAAATATTTTTTGTAATATTTTGACATATTGTTGGTGGTTGGCCATGGAAACAAATCGTTATTTTGTGTGTCATTATCAAATAAGTATTTTAAAAATTTATTAAAGTAAAAATGCAAAATTTCGAAAAATATGACATGTCAGAATGCTACATCCAATCCAACAAAAATGCACCAGTTGCTTGCCAAACTTGTTTAGAAAAATATCCAGAATTAAGGTTGACCGATTGGTGAAAAATTTTAAATTATTCGGTGCTTTTAAACAACCACTACCAAAATGTTACAAAAAAGAAAACCGGGAAGAAGAAGAAATCAACGTATTAGGGAGTGTCGCAGCAAATTCTAATATTTCCCTTAGAAAAATTGAAAATGATTTAGGAGTCAGTCAAAAAAAGACGTTAAAATTTTTTAAAACACAAATTCTGTTCTTATAAGTATTGTCATTTGTTTTATTTACTTAGTTATTGTTACTTTTTATTAAATGTTCATTACATAATAAATATAGTATTATCATTATTTTTTATAATGGTTTGAATATCAGTCACTGCAACGGAAATAATCTTGGAAATAATGTGTTTTTTTTGGTCAACCACCAACAAAATGTCAAAATATTACAAAAAAATATATATTTTTTTTATATTTTAAAATTAACAAAAAATGTCATAGCCACCTATGATTCCCATTAAAAAAAACAGTTTATCTTATTACTGCTAAACAACAAAAAATTGTTAACAACATCATTAAATTCTAAGTAAAAAAGTGCCTGTATAATGTCTTTGATTCAAACCTGAATCTTCTATAATAACAAAAAAACCTCTGAGTTCCGGAGATTCCTTATTCGGACATGCAAAATGCAGCACCCTGTACATACTCTCATTTTTAAGTGAGAAATTGTTGTAGATCAACGTATTTCATCGAAACTAATGCAATTTGGAGTCAAATGTCAAAAATTTTAATTGTCAAATGTAATAATAATATACTCTTTTTTTTATATTAATGTGCATCAAGTAGTTGTAGAAATCTAAATGCATCTTTAATTTAAAGGCCGATTCACACAAAAACTGTCATTAATGTCATTCAGAACAAATTTAATGACAAAAATCTTTTGTTTGCCACCCTATGTTAATTACGTTGTTAATTTTAATTATTTCTTGCTACCTGCGGTACACATATTTATTTGAGAAAATAATTTTTAGGGAAGATTGAGGTTAGGATTGTTTGAATTTTTGCATGGTTGCCACCTTTAAATGATCTCATTCAACGACTACTTTGATGCACATTAATATGAAAACGGATATACAATTAAAAAATCTCTCTCAATAGAAAAAATAGTATAAAAACACGGGTTACAACCTCTCATTGTGATACGAGCCACGTCGCGAGTGTTAAAAATTACTCGTATCACAATGAGAGTTTGTAACACTTGTTTTTTTAATGTGCTATTATTTACGTCACGGTTTTATTTTCAGTTGGATTACGAAGAGACCTGCATCAACTTCACAGTGGAGAGATGGTACCCAGTGGCCAACATGTCTCGCTATCTACCGATCCGTATCTACGATTACTATGCCCCGGAACGATTCAACGAAACAATATTCGATGCCTTATCAACGTACAATTTGGACATTTGTCACGTGTGTGGTAGCAGTCAATGTCCGTATTGTTGGATTTACAATGCAACAACTAGAGTTACAATTCCATTATTCACGTTAATTTTCACAAGCATATTTTTAATAGTTAGATATTTTGATGTTCAAGACAACATAATCTAATGCCACAATTGTGAGCTGAACTGAAATCTGGAATTATATTAATTCTACAAGTGTGAAATAGTTGTTAAAAGTTGTGCCTGATTATAAATAAAGGATTGTTATGTAAATTTAATATAAGCTCCAGATTCATGCTTTTCTTAATCTTTGTGTTCATTATTTTTAGTCGTCTTGAAGAGTCTAGAGAGGAGAAATGACTTTAAGAGAGATAATGAGAGTTACTTATGACACATTGTATATTTTTCTACGAAAAGAAATCATATCGGGAATACTCAAAGCAAATTATTTCATGTTGAAAGCGGAGCTGCACGCTCATAGTCTCATATTAAACCGTCCAATTGCACTGACGTAGTTAGTGTTTTATATTGTAAAGTAATTAATATATTTGGTTAGCTTTTTATATATTGTTATATTTTTTATTTTTTTTTGTATTATAAATTATTTCATCAGCTAATATCACTGTTGATGTAACTTAGGGTTCAATTTGACTAAATATAAATTAGTTTTATACTTTCTATACTAGGATTTTGCAGCTGTAAATAATTACTAACTTGATTTTGTGTAGTTTCTGAAACAAAAAGTATTTCGATAGAGTATTTAGTTTTAGGTAGGATTTAACGTATTTGTACACATGTTGAATTGAAATAAAAGCGATTTTCTTTTGATAAACAAATGTTTTATTTAATTTTTATGATCCTCATCTTCAAAAATGTAATCTTGTTCTTCATACATTTCTAGATTTGAGTCATCTTCAGCTGAATGTGATTCAAGCTCTTCTTTTATATATTCAATGTCGGGAAGATAATTCTTATCTAGTTTTTTCTCTTTGGACCTCATCAACTACAAGAAAATGACAAACGATGTCTAGAATCATACAGAAACATTACCTCCCGCTTTTCTAAGAAATTCTTAAAAGCCTCTCTTCGTTCTTTATTGCTCGTATACTCGATTGGGTTTTCATTAATAGTGTGCACCAAATCAGATTCTTCATTTTTCAACCTATGACTTGCTTCAGATTTCTTCATACTTTTTTTTATCTAAAAAATTACATTTGCAACTGGGCTAACATTTACCTCCAATTTTACCCTATTTAAAATTTGTAAACGATCTAGTCCTAGAACATCTTGGGGCATTGGGGGCAATTCCTCCTCTTCAGTAATTTCGTCTCCTAAAAATTGTTGTTCTACATCTTGCACTTTATCCTAGAAGAAGGGCTTAATTCAAGTCACAAAAACAAAACAAAAGCACCTTAACATTGCATGGCAAAGATGTGAATAATTCCAACTGTGATTTAAGTTTTACTACCATTTCTGTAGGAACATGATCTTCACCGAAATCGGCTTTCGCTAGTCTACTATCCAGTTCAGCAATTTGTGCATAGTGTTTGTCTAAAAATTGTTAAATCACTAATTAATATTTTTTATTTTTGCCAACCTTTTACGAAATGTATCATAGGCACTGCCCCTACGAGTCGTAAGGAAGAAAGCTCGTGCCTTAAAAAACCCGCATTTTTCTTTAACAATTTCTCCACAATTTCGTCATCTTGTGTTCCTTTAGCAACCCAGAAAACGTTCAAACCTTTATAATCGGGAGCAATCTGGACTCTGTTTATTTCAATTTCATGTCCTTCAAACTCAGAGGAATATTCCCCTGTCGCTATTAGGTCGGTGATGTGTCTCATAAACAATTTATTAAGCACAGAAACGCGACGTGCATTTCCGGAAAATTTTCCTTCCTGACTGCCTTTACTAAACGATTCTGCAGTTGGGAGAATTCCCACTTCAGTAAAGATTTTCTTTCTAAAAATTAGCATTAGTTACTTATTGTAGATTTATGTGAGTACTTACTTTTTTGAAGACTGACCCATCACTTTTTTCATAACTCTTCCCAACTTTGCACTACAGAAAGTCGATGTATGAAAACTCCGAGAACTTAACAAGAAACTTCTCAACATTTTTCTTCTCTTTGAAACTAAAATTAATAAAAATTGCACGTAATTAACACAGAAAAATTAAAAAAAAGTAATAGAGCGCCCTCTAGTGGAAACATAGCAGATAAAATCAAGCCTTAAGAGAAGTACATGAGAGGACTTTTTATAGTCACTTGTGATTGTGAACAAGTTTTTAATATAATGCAATTTTGAGTTTGCTATTTTCGAAAAAATGCCACTATTTTTTTGATAAAGAGTGTAAACCGAAAACAGTTTTAGTTGAGCAAGTTCTAACTAGAAAATAGTCTGTTGAATTTTTAAAACTCTATTACATCAATTAACTGCATTATCATTACCAAATAAATGAAAATTTTGAATAATTTTTTGTATTAGAACTACTTAACCTTAGAATTTTTGACAAGAAGTGTCACCTTTGTAACGTACCCTTAAACACTTCTCAATGTTTCGAATCAAAAATTGTTTGTTTATGGTTGGGTTTTATTAGATATCACTTCAAAACGTTGTTATAAAAAAAAAATATTCGAAAAGATCGAAAGTATTTTTATAGTCAGTGAAAAAACACATTGACTTTAGACACTTCTCAGTTGACGTTTGTGAGAAGTGTCAAACGAAGCCACAAAAACTTTCTCAAACACAATAATGCAACATTTAATTTGTTAAAACGGTTTTATTTATATAATGTGATTAGTTAATTTATCATGATAGTGTGGTGGTAGCAGATTTCAAAATGTACTTCCCAATCGGTTGGCCCAAAGTTATCAAAATACCAGATTTGGGACAAGCAAGTATACGACAAATAACTTGCAACAGGGACAGGATTTTATTCGCTATATTAACCGACGATTCCATCGCAATTTGGTTTTGCAAAGTAAATTTTAAACTATTTTTCCAACTGTTGTACATCCAGTTTTTTCCAGCCATGCGTTCCAATTGTTTTCTACCGCCGAACCCCCCAATCCTTGGAAAAATTTGGAACAAACATTTCAACGGAATGGAAACCAGATTCCAGCATGGTTGCTGTTGCGGTGTGTAATCAAACCCGCTTGTTTTAGTATCACTTTACTCAATTTTCAGACGTCGGAAGGTCACTTGTTATTGTTTAAACTCGGAGTTGTGGCAGATAATAAGGGTTTATATGTCCAAACTGATAGCCCCCATGCCAATTTACGAAGGGATAGCGCCGAATTGTTTATTAAAGAAATAATACCACCTTTACACCTCACTCTGGTTATTACATTTTTTTCTATTAACGGAGATATGTTTTAAACTAAGATTTTAGCACCAAGAAATTATGGTCTGGGATGGTAAAATAACAGGAATTGTGTGCATAACAATGTCAGAATTCATGATCTCAACCAGTGAAGGACATGTCTTGAGGTACTGGTGGGATGGACAACAACACAGAGATTATAATTTAGATTTGAGACGAATACCTTTTTGTATCAACCAACAAGTGTCAAAAGGTTTTATTTTAAGTTTAGTTTTAATAAATCCCAATGTTTGTGTTTATAGCAATTCCAATTGTTGAAGAAAATACGTTTATTGTTGATATAGAATATTCACCTCTAGTTGGCGGTTTTTCTATTGTTTTAAATGATGGAAGAGCGGCATTTTTAACAGCTTCGTCGCTAAAATTCGACCCTAATGTAAGTTGTTTCTTGTGTTTAATTAACATTTAACAAACTTTTTAGCAAGTGCAAGGAATTTGGGCCCAAGGAATCGAAGACGCCACTTGCACTGTCATGAACCACAAATACCGATTAATAACTTTCGGACGTGCAAAGTAATACTTTTTAAACTTTACTAAAAAAAATTAACTCTAAATTTCAGTTCCGAATGCATTGTTTATTACGTTGACGAAAGCACAGGCGGCTTGGAAGTCTCCCACAATTGTGTTTTGAGTAGTAAGGATTATCCCGGTGATCCTGGTGCTGTGGGTCAAGTATTGTGGACTCCTGATGGTTGTGCTCTGGTTGCCGCGTGGGAGAAAGGCGGTATTGCAATGTGGTCAACTTTTGGATCACTTCTCATGTGTTCCTTGGGTTGGGATTATGGGTTAAATATTGATCTTCAAACAAATAATCCCTTGCAAATAAAATCCATGCAGTTTGCAACGGAAGGGTATCAGTTATGGATGGTGCATAAGGAGGCGAAAGAAGACGAAATGAATGGAAATGGAGTGCATACTACGAGTTTGTTGCAATTGGATTTTATGAAAAGTGCTCTGACTATAAATCCGTGTATGGTGAGTGACAAAATAACGAAAAAACTGTTTGTATTTATTTTTTGACTTTGGAACTAAGGTCGCAACATCGAAAGATATGACTTGTTAATTTTTATGTTTTGTACCTTTGTTTTTCAATGCCTCTAACTTAATTTTAAAGTAAATTATCAAAATACACACTAAAAATGCAATGATAAATGTTTAAATGAGATTGAATTGAAAAATTGGAAAAAAACACTAATTTCCATTAATTGATGCGTAATGAGTTTTTTCTTTTTGCCTAAATCAATGGGTTAGATTCATGTCTGTTAAATAAATAAATAATAATTAAATGTATTTTTATGCGATGTTTCAGTGAGTTGCTACGAGTAAAGTCCATTATCGACCTTAAAATGTTCAAACTTTAAAAATTTTATATAGCAAATTAATAGGTACTATTGTATTTAATGAAATTATTTTCAACTATACACTGTATCCCAAAAATAAGTTACAGTACAAACTTGTTTTTTTTTTTTGGGAAACACTAATTAAAAATTTATTACACAAAATTTAAGACAGTTAGATTTTTTTACCACTGCAAAGGAATAGCATACCGGGTGGGGCATCCGTTACGCCCAAAAAGAAAATCCCCACTTCTAATTAAATAAAATTGTTGAATTTTTTTACACTTACCTGGGCATTAGTAAGGTACATTCTCTAATTTTTTGGTAATTTTTCATTCACAAAGCCAAAAAAAAAAATAAAAAGTAATTTTTTCCCAAAAAATTTAATTCTAATTTTTATACTGACCTACGCAGATTCACTTCCTACAATTGTTTACAAAATCAGAAAAAAAATACCAATTAGATTTTGAATTAAACGCAATTTTTGATCTTAACTTTGAAAATCATTTTTATTTATGACCTGCTACTTGTGCCATTACTTAAAATGGGGGTAAGATTCCAAGGTTTACAACAAAAAGACCTTTTAAAGCGGTCGGCTACCAGTAAATGATTCTTTTGTTGTCAAATTATACCATTTTGTCATAAATCACGGGTCTGGTTTGTTGTGTTTAAATAAAAAAAAAACATTATTTGGCTAACCAAGTCAAAATTTGAAATTGTGATATCAAAGTTTGATGCGGTGACAGGTACAGATTCATTTAGTGTAAAAACTTTATAGGTAAATTAACAGAAAGTATTCATAAAACACACAAAACTGTTACGGACTCATTTATTATCCAAAAAAATTAGAAATATTTCCAAATTATACCCTATCAATAATTAGTTAGGTATATGAAATATCGCCAGTTTTAATTAATTTGAAGTCGCGATTTATCAAGTGCGCGTAACCGATGCCCCACCCGGTACATACAAATTTTAAGGCTGTAACATTTTTTTAATGCGTTGCATTTGTAAAGATAAAACATTAGGAAGTTTGTTCAGAAACTTAAAAAATTTAAATGGAAGACTCTATTTATTGTTTTTGCAAGAGATTATCAAATTGTCTTCTTACATATTTTTTTTTTACATTTTAAGATTTAAAGGTAATGGACATTATACTTTGTCAACTCGCTGAGACACCCTGTATATTTTTTGTTACCAATTCGAATGCTTAATAATAATAAAAAAGGTTGAAAAGGGAGCTTTTTCTCAAATAAAAATTAAAAATGTTTTATTTTGCTAAAATCAAGCAAAAGCAAAAGTTTTCCAACCAATTATAATTATAATTATATAAAGTAGTATATAATAAAAAAGTAATTAGAACAGAAATTAGAAAAACTGTTGTAATTTAAGCATTAAATGTCTATAAATATTTTTTTCTTTAAAAAAACTTCAGTTAGGTTCTAAAATGTTCCTTTTGTTCTAAGAATAATAATAATGAACAAATATTTTGCAAAATAAAAATCTCTTTCAACGACTACTTTGATATGAAAACGATAGTTTCAAATAAATTTCTAAATAAAGTGACCTGTGAATTTGAAATTAAGTTGGCTACATTGACTATGAAATTCAAACGTCACCTGACATTGATATCGAACTACGAATAGTCATAGATCACGATCTAAAATTTTACAAAAATTAATGTTTCCAAAAAAAAAATGGCAACGGCACGCGGTGTTCCCAAGCGGTCACCCATCCAAGTACTGACCGCGCCCGACGTTGCTTAACTTCAGTGATCGGACGAGAACTGGTGCTTTACAACGTGGTATGGCCGTTCCCGGTAGAATTTCTTGTGTTCCAGGAACATAAATTTCTAAATAAAGTGGTTTATGACTGAATTTAAGTTGGCAATAGAGAATTATTGGTGATATTAATTTGATAATTTATATTACTTAAAAGTCAGTGTCAAATGCAATTGGTAATCAGGGCGGTCTATGACTTTAAATTTAAGTTGGCAAAATCGAAAATTGTAGAAACGAGGTACAAAACAAATAAAAATGTTTCATATTTCCCCTTTCAACGTTATACAAAGTTGCCAACTTAATTTCAAAATCATAGGCCACTTTGCTGAGATTTAATTGAATAAACTCATGGCAAATAAAATTTGGTGTTATTACTTTAGAGTCATCAGAGTCACTTGTACCTTCAAGGCGAAGACAAACTGTACGTAAATTCGGCCGACACTTTGATCAAAATGTTTTCTGAACGCTCAACCAAAGACGAGGGTGTTTTCAACGAGTCACTCTCAATGACCTCCACTTTGGCAGAAGGACGACAATGGCTTGTGATTCCTGTCCCGTCTACATACTCAGCAACGAATTGGCCTATCCGAGTACGACTTTTAATTTTTTTTAGAATTTACATTGATTGATTTTTCTAGTACTCGGCGATTGATTCAGAAGGCCAGAACATGGCTATCGCCGGTCGCACTGGCCTTGCTCATTACTCAATGCAGACACGCCGATGGAAATTATTCGGTAACGAAACGCAAGAGAAAGATTTCATCGTAGTTGGTGGTTTATTGTGGTGGAGAGATTACCTCGTTATGGGTTGCTACAGTATTTTGGAAAATTCGGATGAATTAAGGTTTTATCCAAGAGACGCCAAATTAGATAACAAATTCGCGAAAATTGTGACTGTTTTATCGCCGGTGCTCTTGATGAATATCCTTCAAGATCAGTTGATTACGTTCGGATCGGATGCGCAGGTGACGATTTGGGCCCTTAAGCACAACCCTACTGGTTTGTAATTTTAATTCCCTGAATTTGTGGTCCTGAAGATGTGTTTATAGTGGGAAACGTTGACGTTTTTAAAGTACAAGTCGTGGATATATCAGCGTTGGCTGTGCATCCTGCATGTATCGTTTCACTAACTTTGTCTTCACTACGGACCGAAATTGGCCGAGGTCAACCGAATAATTCCGAAAGTATTGTTCTTAACGTCAGTGGAAGACTTTTGATGGTGCAAAGGGAGGTGAGAAATGGGGAACGATACACGTGTTCTATGCCAACTGTTCTTGCCAGTTGTGTGGAAAATGTTTGGGTACCGAGTAGGAGAAAGGCCGAAAAGGTTTGACTTGATTTTTGAACAATTTTTAAAATAATTGAAAACAATTTAGGCGCATTTGACCGAAGCTTTATGGTTGTTTTGTGGGGCACATGGGATGCGAGTTTGGTTACCTCTGTATCCGAAAGATGGCGACAAGACGCATACTTTCATGTCAAAAAGGATTATGTTACCCTTTCATCTTAAAATATATCCATTAGGTAGATCAAAGTAGCCTTGAAACTTAGTTGGCAACATTGACTGTCAGGTTGAAACGTCACAATTTTTGGGTCAATTGTCATTTATTTTGGACGGGCGGTCACTGGCTTTCCCGTCACTTGACACAATCTAATATACCAATAATTCAGTGTTGCCAATTGATTTTTTTGTGTGGACCAATAAATTAATTTTTCAATTTTTAGCAATTCTTTTTGAAGACGCAATAATTTTGGGAGCCGAAAATGACACAGTTTTATATACGTCCGACTCAAACTCGCCGTTTTCTTTACCATTTAGCGTATTACAACGTACTGTAAGTTATGTTATTGTCGGTCTTGCATCCGTTTTATTAAATTTTCTTCAGAGTCAGGTGTACCTTCATCAAATCTTACGTCAATTAATCAGAAGAAATCTCGGTTATCACGCATGGGAGATAGCCCGAAGCTGTATGAGTTTGCCTTATTTTCCCCATTCTTTAGAATTGTTGTTACACGAGGTGTTGGAGGAAGAAGCCACCAGTAAGGAACCAATTCCCGATGCTCAATTACCAAGCGTGATAGAATTTATAATGGAATTTCCCGTCTATTTGCAGACGGTAGTGCAATGCGCCCGAAAGACTGAAATCGCTCTATGGCCGTATCTTTTTTCGGCTGCTGGCAAACCGAAAGATCTTTTTCAAGAATGTATGGCGAAGAGACAACTCGATACGGCCGCTTCCTACCTCATTATATTGCAAAATTTGGAAACTTCTTCCGTTAGTAGACAGTACGCCACGTTGTTATTGAACACGGCTCTTGATCAGTCCAAGTGGGAACTCGCCAAAGATTTAGTTCGCTTTCTCAGAGCCATCGGTGAGTAATACACACTCCTGCATATTTTTTTATTCAAATTTTCAAAATTACATGATGGGTTAATTAAAAAAAAATAAGAAACATTGGTAAATAACGTACAGCAAATAATAAATAGTGTAGAAATCTCTTTTTTTACGTCTTTAACAGTCTAGTGAATTTTATGTTGCGACACGTTTAGGTGTTACCAACTGACGTTAAATTCCCCAAATTCAACCATTTGTTTTTTGTTCTTATAAACAGAACAATAAAAAAAATAGTATAGAACATGCCAGTAGTCAAAGGAAATAAATAATGAAATCATTCAAAGAAATCTTCCAAAAAATGTATTTAATTAGTTAGCTAATTATTATTTTTAACTTACTTATTTTACCTGATATCCAATCAGTTCGTGGTTATTTACACACAAATTTATACACGGTGATTTACGAGGAATATTGAGCCTGACCCAAATTTTCGATGCAACTAACATTACAGTTGTCGCAAAATAACTTGCAAAGAGGTGTGGTGGTTGCATCAAAAATTAGCTCAGACTCATTATTACTCGTGAATCACCTTGTATTTTTTCACTTTTATTATTGTGACTTAAATTAAGTTGGCAACACCGAATTATTAATTATATCAGATCGTGTCAGGTGATAGCCATAACGCAAAAAAGAGACAACGGGAATAAAAATACAAATAGAAATAAAAATTGGCGTAAAAATTATAAGTGAAAAAAATGGCAACGGCACGCGGTGTTCCCAAGCGGTCACCCATCCAAGTACTGACCGCGCCCGACGTTGCTTAACTTCAGTGATCGGACGAGAA